GTCCTTTTCTCCGCCCTCCCGCCTCTCTTCCTGCGCCTTCGCGCGGCGCTTCGGCCTCCCGCTCCCCCCGAGCCGCCCCTTGTTTCCTGAGGGCGGGTTCCGTTGGCTTTCTCTCCGGCTCCAGGAGCCATCAAAGGCCGCTCTGTTATTGAAATAGGAAGCCGTTTCCTCTCCAGCGAGAGCTGCTTTGCTCAAGGCGGGAATCAATGGCCCCTATATATTCTCCTCGGCCTTATAAATAAATACCTCCTGTTTGCTCGGCAGGGAGGGCGGCGGCGCGCCGCCTCTCGCTCGGCCGCTGCTCGGAGGAAAGGCGCGCCTCCCCAAGCGCCCCTTGTGGCCGCCTCGCTCAGCCGCCCCTTCGGCCTCCCCCAAAAGAGGGGGTCCCACCCCGCTTTCCATTCACCGCCCCACGCACACCCCCAAAATACACACAACCCGAAGACGGCTGGGTCTTAATTTCGGAGTTGCTGCTGCTGTGTTGATACTAATTTCGCAACTCCTAGGAACTTTGTAAGGGACACCACATAGATATGTATGTGCAGATGGTGTGTAGCCTTAATAAACAACTATTTGACTTTTAGAAAACGTCTGAAGGGAGCCTTCTCTAGGGAAGCTTTTTCCATGCTTGATGCTTTATTGTGTTTTTAAATATTTCTGGGAGCTGCCCAGAGTGGCAGGGGCAACCCAGTCAGATGGGTGGCATGTAATAAATGTTACTGCTGTTAGCATGCACCTACAAGCCGTCAGTAGGATCAAGGCATTTCTCTTTATTGGGGCTGCAACTGGTAGGCAGATGAAGCAAACCAGGTTGAACATACCAATGTCTACAGCGCAGTAAGTTCTGCTGTGTAATATGGGGCTTACTCCCGGGTAAGTGGATATAGGATTGCAGCCTGACTAATAGGCAAAGGTTGTTCCCAGATGATCTGTTGATTGAGGATTCATCCAGATTTTCTTGAACAACGTTTGTGGGGAGTTTACCCAACGCCGGTGGTTTATGGAGCACTCATCCTGGTTTGTTTGCAATGTCCAGCAATTCTTATCCCACACACTTTCCAGCATTTCTCCCATAGCTTTCCTCATTGCAAAAAGTCTCATTTTGGAGGGAAGCAGGAATTTGGTGTATTTGGAAAAGCCCACAGTTTAACCAGAAGGATTGCGTAGAAGGACTAGCTTAGCCTGGGGACTAAGAAATGTCCCCAAAGAAATGAGATGTCTTGACTCTTGCGTTTTCCTAGAGCAAGCACAACAGGGACAGGGCCCTCCCCACCCCCAGTAGAGAGACCCCCATGGTTGTGCTGGCCTCAGAAGTACTAGAGATTCTGGACTGAGCAAGGCAGGGAGGAACTTCCTGTCCATCCCTATGTCAGAATTCAGCAGGAGAAGTGCTGTTTCATCTTTATGCTAGCCCTGGGACTCAAAGGCATTCTAGGTTTTTCTAAAGCTCAGTATTATGTTGAGGAAAAGCCTTCTCATTCAGGGAGGTGCATGGTTTTGGGCAAGCACAAATTTGAGGTGGTTGCCAAAGATGGTAGAAACGCATGGATCCCACCCCCTTGGTGAAGTGTCTTCTCATTCACTAAATAGCTGGAGTGTGAGCCTGTACTTTTTGTTTATAGGAACAAACTCTTGGTAAACATGACTGGATCTTTATCAACACATGCCAAGGAGCAGATGACTCACCAACTTTTCATTACCTGAATGCTTTCCTCCTCTCCCTCTTACTTTAAAATAAAAACAAAACTTGGCTGCTGCATTAGCAGTGATTGTGGTAGTGGCTTCTCTGCCACCACTGTGTGCCCGTCTCACCTTGCTCTGAGAAAGAGACACGGGATTCCTTTTTCAGAGCCAGGCATTCTGGGCAAGGTGGCAAGAAATGCTTTAAAAAAGAGAAAAAATGATACCTTCTCTCCAGGGACCTTACTTAGAGTGAGGCAAAGTAGAAGAGCAGGCAGCAAACCTTGCTTGGAGAGGTGCACCATAATGAGGTAACGTCATGGGGTAGAAGTTGATCTCACCTGTACCCATCACCTGAGACATGTTGATAACATCTCACCCCACATCTCCTAGTGACCACTCCCAACTCCCAATGTGTTCAAAGGCCCAGAAGAGAAGATGGAACCTTATGGGATCCCACCAGACAGCAGTCATGGGGTCAAACACACATCCTCAGTGCTATTCTTTGGAACTGAAGATAAGACTCCAATACCAACCCAGACAGTTTGCCTTTCTTACCGACAGTTTGTTCACACTCTGAATAGTGGAACAATCCAGCAAAATTTAATTGTGACTAGAAGTATTTTATACATGACAAGCAGCAAAATTAGGTTTGCTACCCAGCATGCATTTGACAGGAAGTCACAGTCAATTTGAATTTCTTGGTTAGCATAGCTCTATGATACATATTTGCAAACACATATTTGTTGCAGTCATGATTAAAGGTAAAGGGACCCCTGACCATTAGGTCCAGTCATGACTGACTCTGGGGTTGCGTCGCTCATCTCGTTTTATTGGCCGAGGGAGCCGGCGTACAGCTTCCGGGTCATGTGGCCAGCATGACTAAGCTGCTTCTGGCGAACCAGAGCAGTGCACGGAAACGCCGTTTACCTTCCCGCTGGAGCAGTACCTATTTATCTACTTGCACTTTGATGTGCTTTCGAACTGCTAGGTTGACAGGAGCTGGGACTGAGCAACGGGAGCTCACGCCGTCATGGGGATTCAAACCGCCGACCTTCTGATCAGCAAGTCCTAGGCTCTGTGGTTTAACCCACAGAGCCACCCGCATCCCTATGCAGTCATGATTAGGTGTACACTAAAATACTTTTGTGTATACTGTATCTTGAAAACATTGTGTGTGAAGTGGCTGCCCTACTGAAATCAGTGGCATACAAACATATTCTAAAACAGGAGCATCTGTATTTTTTCTGCTGTAAGGTTTCTTCTGTAATGATATAAGTAAAATAATTGGACCTGATACTGCCTCTTTTCTGCCCCCCTCCAATATTTTGGATGGTGTGTTTATTCTGCAAGACCCTTGCTTCCTCATCTCTGTGAGTTATTCATTTTTAAAAACCCAAGCATTTTTTGTTCCACTTTTATTTGGGGATGGGGAAAGTTGCTTTTAGGACTGATGCAGCAGCCAGTCAATCAGCAATGTGTTGCTCTAAATCAAAGATGGAGGAGGCGATGGGGGGTGCCACTTTGTGAATGACACAAAGGTTAGCCCATCAACACTGAGCAACTCAAAGACTAGCCAATCTTCATTGAACAAAATCAGCATCTGCTGGAAATCATAACAGGTTTCCACTTAGCTTGCTCTGTTGGAGAGGATGGTGCATGTGCTCAGTATGTGATGTGTTTTTGCACAGTGGGCTCACTGCTGAAATTATCTCTCCACACCTCTTAGTCCTGACAAGGACCCTTTGTACCACTTTCAGTAAGACTTAGTTGCAGCTAACCCTTTTGGGAATGTTCCTAGCGTGTTTGGCATTGGGGTGTGAGTCAGCAGAACTTATTACATCTACAGCTATATATGGACATTTCAAGCACAAACTCAATATGTACCTGTAGCTTACTAAAGAACACTTTTTGTTCAAGTAAACTAGTTGTTTGTGACCAAAATATTGCTGCTGGATCTGGCAAGATCATTTATGTTTGTGGCCAAACAGGAGTAACACATATTCATACCCAGACAGTACAGAACACATTATAAATAGCTTATTCCACCATAGTGCCATGCCTCTTCCTGCAGAGAAATGATGTCTCAAGGCTGCACCATGGCAGCAGATATGTGGCACCTAAGCAAACAGAAGGTGGGAGTTTAGAAAGGGGAACTCCAGAGGGCAAGGGTAAGGGTTTGCATTTAGCTATGACAGTCCAAACATTTATTATTATTATTCAGTCACTTTTGTTGGGCCTTGATGGGGCACGTGTTACAGATGCTGGGATCAAGACCCATTCACTTCCACACCCCAGTGGGGTGAGGGTGGTAAAAAGGCATCCCAAACACATTATTTTGCTTTTTGAACATTTCCAAAAGCTTGGATTTATAACTAGGCATGAGCCATGTACCATATCCATGAGGTCATCTGCAAGCACCGCCAGTGAATCAGAAAATGCAATATTTTTCTCCCACTGTCAAGATGACACAGCCCAGGTTTTCTTCAAATTGCCAGGTTCAGGGGAAAGGGAAGCAAGCCATGCAAAGCCTAGCTAATTCATATCTTAGTTTAGGTCACTACTATGCAACAGATCGGAGATTTGATGTTGCTCATGCAGGCAATTTTTTCTCAGCGTCAGTCTTATGAAAATGACCATTCCCTTCCCCAATTTAATCTGGGTTTACCATTTCCACAGGTGTTGTTACTTATAGGTGAAATGCTAAATCAAGATTAAATGGGAACATAATACGGGGCAGCATTTTGGCAAGGACCTCATTCTGTGGGTGATAGGCATACTTGCTCCCCCAGCCCCAGCAGCACTAAATCCTCATGTGGAGTTAGATATTACCAGGGTTCTGTTACCCTCCTTTGCTCATTAATAGCGTAATATATGTGGTGGGAACATGTCTTGTGATTTCAGGCTCCTGATCTTGACCAGGGATCTCTACAGCACAAAGAATAGTTCCCATGCTTGATGATCCAAGGATGCAACCGACTCCACAAAAGTTCAGGGCTAAAGTTTGCCAGCGATTTCCCCAAATAGGGATCGCACGCGCCCTTAATCCTACATGTTCCTGTGTGGGGCCAGTTGCTGGGAGACTCGCTGGGTAAACCAACGGGATTCGGTTAGTTCTTAGAATTTCCTCGGCGTTTTTCTCCCTCCCCTCTTCCTTTCCCGTCCGCTCTTGATCTGCTCCAAGACACCATCCCAAGAAGAGGGGGAAAGGGGTGGGGGCGTCAGAGGGAGGGCAGAGCCCGGGAGTATCGTGTTCCTGAGAAGGTGTCGGTCCTTCGCCCCGCCGCGATCCCTTCACACAGGGAAACTCTTGACAACTTGTTCCACTCGCTGGGCAAAGCCGGGGCGTGGGCGCGGGTGGCGTGAGGGGAGTTGTGAAGCGGCGGAGCCAAGAGGGCAGGGCACCTAGCGAGACCCTGAGGTAAGTGGCGAGGGCGTCAGTCAGGACACGGGGGCAGAAGGGACAAGAGGCCACTGTGTGAAGAGACGCTGTTGCGCCGGACACTCTGTGGGTGTCTCTCTCTCTCTCTCTCCGTGTGTGTGTTTTGCTTTCGACTTTTCTTCCCCTTCGCTCCTGAGGTTTTGAACGGAGCTCACGCCGAGCTTTCTGGGGAACGTCCTTCACGTCTGACGTGGTGCCTTCTCGACCGAGAGTGGCGCTCGCTCGCTCGCTCGCTCTCCCGCCTCACGCGCTCCTCTCGCCTGGATCGGGACTTTCGCCCTCACAGCCTCCCCGCGCGCGAGCCAGAGCGCGCGCAGAAACGACGCCAGGCGAGCGGCCACCGCAGAGCCCGCCGCGCTCAGGGACCAACGGCGCGAGACTTTATTTTGCTTTTTTGAGGGGAGGCATCTTCGCTTTGGAGCTTTGAGAAAGGTAAAAAAAAGAGAGAGAAAGAGAGAGAGAGGAAAAGGTGGGGAGAGAGGGAGGGAGTCCCGTCAAGCTGCTCTCAACAAATAGAGCATAATCTGAAGGCGCCAGTTTTCCTGGGAAGGCTCGAACTTCGTGTGAGGGAGGACTTGGAACCAACTTTTCTCCGTTGGTGTGAGGCGTGGAGCGCTCAGGGAATAGGGGTTGCCATCCCGCCCGCCCCTTCTGACAGCTCCTCTGGCTTTTAACAGATACAAAGACAGGCAGGAATTAAACAGATGCAATTCACCTCAGTTCTGTGCTGGGGAAATCTTTACCACTAGGCAAACCTGTATTTCATGGCTGGGGAACCAGTGGTCATCTATATGACGTTGGGCTATATAGCTCCCATCTCTGAGCATTGGTCATGCTGGCTGGGGGCTGATGGATGACAGCATCACATCGGGTTGGACTAGATGATCCTCAGGGTTCCTTCCAACTCCACAATTCTATGAGTCCAACCACAGTTCTATGCCCCTGCGTAGGATAGCCTTCTGTGGAATCTGAGGTAGTGTTGAGAGATGAAAATGGGGTGTCAAATATGATTAACCGTTGCCGCTGCTCACATTGACCACGTTTATTACCACAGTGACAGCAATGGAAGCAACAGGAATTGTAAACTTCCTAAAGCAAGGGCTAAAATAATTTGGACATGTAAGGAAGCAGAATGGAAGGAAAGAAACAGGAACCCTAGTGAACTTTCACATCTCTGAAGGAACATGCATAATTTCACACCTGGCTGGGACCACTGAGTCTAGAAGAGCCACCACTCTCTGCTTCATTTCCCACACTGGGGGAAGGGGGATTTCCATTCATGCCAGTACGATAGGGTGATCTTGTACCTCAGTACAAGAGGTAATTAATCTGGGTGAATAAATTATATTGCATGACAATCCTCCTGAGAGTGAAAAGCTTTCAACGAGTGGAAGTCCCTAGCTTGGTTTGTCACCAAGATGAGTTAGCCCCCTACAGTTGGCAGCATTTCATGGGAGAAGGAAGGGATGCATGGATAAGTACCTTTCCTGAACATGCACGACAAGGATGAAAGGGGCATGAAGAAGTTTACACTTCTCGCAAGTGCCATCCTCCCTTGCACTTTAGGGATGACTGTAGCCTCCACAATGTATTTGTCCGCAACACATTAAAATGGCATTATGGTTTAGTCCCAAATGTGTTGCATATTTTTCCAGCACTGAGTTACTTATGATCGAAACTTAAATAAATTATCAAAAGGCTGTTATTGGATGATAGTAGTAGACTCACGGCAGTGTTATCTCAAGAACCCTAAAAAAGTATTTGTTGCTTTACTTTCATGTTAATAATAATCCGAAACACACATTCCAAAACTGACAGTTTTGCAAGAGTTGGGTAGATGCAGGTCTTGGAATCAGTAGTGCAAGCAATGTGTAAATGAGATTAATGTATGTATGATTATAATCTCTAGAAAGTCCACATATGTTGCTGGTTGGATTTTTCAAAGTGGAAAAGTCATGTATATAGTTTCAATGGGTTGTTATAAAGACCAAATAAATCCCAACATAGTTTCTCTGAATTCTAAACGTCAGTTGAAAATAAAAAGAATTACATGAAATGAAACACATATGTTACACTCTGTGATAAGAGCTTAATGGAAAAGTTAATAACAGTGAGTTTAATATTTTCAATTTGAAACACTTTTAGTGAGAGTAAAAAGCAAGAAGGTGGTAGCAAAATGAGAGCTTCAGTTATTCTGCTCTGGACAAATTATATATGATGTGATGCAATGTGCCTTGTAATGCACATTCCCAGAGGATGAAGGAATTGGTTGGTATTATTGTGCCATTCAAATAACTATATTCTCAAAAGTCAGGTTTTTTGCATATTAAAGTTACAGGCTGACACAATGAGCTGTTAAAATGGAGTAAAATTTAAGCCAGGCCTAGATGCATGAGATCTCTTTAGCTCAATATATTTAGCACTTTCAGGTTTGCAAATGCATTACATTTTTTTCTTGTGCATTCTTGAAACTCATTCAGTTGTGCTGAACAGCACAAAAAGGGCACATTTCAGCAAAGTTGTGTCTTTTTTCAGTTGCACTAGTTTCAAGAATTTGACTAACTCTTCCATTGAAACCAGCACATTTTGAAAGTGCTTAATTCTAAGCATGAAGGTAAGTGGGTGTTACTCTCCAAGTCGCACTGACTCTTAGTTTTGCTGTACTGAGCTGAGGTGGGAGACCAGGAAGGCAGAATTAGAGAGTGGAACTCGTCCAATGTTTGAATAATAGGTGGGGTTTCTATTCCAGCACATTTCTTTCCAAAAGTGCTGAAGCAGGATGCAAAGTAAAATTCCCTGGATTCCCCCCACCCCATTTATCTTAGCACTATACAAGCAATGATCCACATCCAGGTGATGAGGAAATAAGCTTAAGATGTTAGCTGGGATCAGCTTTGTGTTGTTAGTGGAGGCTGATATTCAGCCAGCATCTGATGGCCCAGCTCGCTTCAGTTCAGTGAGCAAGAACTATTAAACTGCAATGCATACTCTTAAACTGACAAGCCTTGCAAAATAAAACAACAAGCTCAAATTCAGTATTGAAGAAATGCCTCCTTCAAAGAAACAAGTTCTAAAACCTTCAGTGGTGCAATGAAGAAACATCTGCTCTGTGTGGCACATAGGTGCCAAGAGGATTGTCTTTCTAATTAGCCTTAATGCCCAAAAAGTTTACATTGAATATGAAGTTTTTTAAAAAGTGGGTCGGGGGTGGGGAGAGAGAGAGAGAGAGACCTTGTTGTTGTAAAGTAGCAATTTAGCCCCACTGTATCTATATTCTGATTCAGGAAAGAAAATTAAAAAAATGGTAAAAAGAAGAACCAGAAGTTCATGAGAAGATAAGCAATGTAAAGAATAGTGTCCTATTCTAATGGAATCAGTGCAATGGTACTCAAACTTAGGGTGACAAATACTGTAAAGAATACAAATTAGTGTAGGCAGAATTTGGCCCATAAAGTAGAAATCTAATAGTAAGCCATAGTTTAGTGGAATTTGAGCTTATAATTGATTGGACCAACACTAGCATTTTAAGGACACTTCATGGGAGGATGGGTTAGAAAGCTGAGCCATGGTTATAAAATGACATGTGAGAGAAGTATGAAACTGCCCCAGAATCCTCTGTGCTGTGACATGATGCTCATAGGCTTAGTCTCACTTTCTGTTATAGCAGGGCCTGACCAGGTTGGTTGGACCAGGAAAGAGTTAAAGCAGAATTTCATTTGGTGGGCCCATCAGAGGTACAAAAACTTAACAGTCAGCCTATTGGCTTTGCCAACCATTCCTCATCCTCAGTGTGTGCAAAGGTGATGCAGAGTTGCCTGTTCTGTTTCTCATTTAACATTTCTCTAACAGGGTGTCACCACAGCATTAGTCACATTTCCCAATGTCAGTCATAACCAACCCCAACCTAAATTCACACTAGGAGACCACAGACCACACCTGTGCTGGCGAACATCACTCCTGTCCTATCCAACCACATCATCACCTGACAGAGGGAATACGCAAAAAACTGGGTAGGTGGGGGAGTGCTTGGAGGGAAAAAGAGTAATCAAAACAGTAAAAAAGAGGCCACAAAAAGAAAAGGAAAAATAACCACTCCTTCCTTTTCCTTGAAGTACTGTAGGTTCCTCAAATGCACCAAGAGGAACATGAGGAAGAACGGCAGTTGTTTGGATACATTAGGGCTGTGTTGTAGATCATGGGGAGGGAGGCACCTCATTCCAGCAATGCTCCAAACAGTAATTCGGCATTCTAAATAGTTTTCAGTGTGTAGGGAACACAGGAAGATGACTTATCTGCTTAGCTGCTGGGGAGCAAAACCTTGTAAGCGAGTTTGTGGGCCCCCAAACTCCTTAATGAGTCTCTGGACTCTGGCCAAAAGTTGACAGCTTCTGGCATTGGCCTTATGTGACTCTGAAAACCACACCATGTGTTAATTTTTCCAGTGCAATGATTCATAAATGCTTTTCAGAAAATCATAACTGGGTATCTATGCACAAGTGTATAGACCAGAATTATTGTACATATCATCAGTTTTCCAGTGTGTAGGAAAATACTTCTTGTTCAGAAGAATGAATATGCATGCATGTGCTTGCTTACCTCTTGTCTGCTGTGAGAAGGTTAAAAAAAACCCAACAACCCCAAAACCTATAGCCACCAGTGGGAGAACTGTGCTTGTTCCACACTTCTCGTCCACATGACCTGTCATTACCAACTTCTTAACACTAAAAGAGTATATCTAAACTACACACGCTATTATTACAACCAGTGTCTAGGAAGTATGTGGTGGAAGAGGGGGGCCGAAGGAGATGGAACACCAAGGGAAAGGGGTGTATGGGCAATAAAAGCAGTATGTGGAATCTGAGCTTGCCCCTCCCCATATCCAAAGTTCACAGTCTGAGGCCTTGTCCACACCAGAGCTAAATGTGTATTTTTACCTTCCTGACTCTTTTTTCATTAATGTTGGAGCATCCACATGATATCCTCCCCATCCCAGTGTTGCACCAGACCTCCTCTCCCCACCCCCATTTAAATGCAGGGTTTTCTATTGTGGCCATTTCAGGCTTTCTGTGGATTTGGAAAACACTGCATTTAAAGGGGAAAATGTCCACTAGGGCAAAAGGTGGATTTGCACCCACCTGTCTGTAGGGGCTGCCCCTACATTAATGGGCAGGCAGGCAGGCGCAAATACACATTTTGCCCTAAGATGACTTGTTTCACATTTTCTGCATCCTGTTCTGTACCCTGAAAGATTCTGCTGTATAGACAGTATTCTGCTTCTAGACTGACTAGTCTGTTACATGGGTTAAGTTTTCAGTCCTTCTTGACTGGCAACTTATTCTATAGCTTTCTAAACATACCAATAATGTAGCTCATTTCTAAGTCTCAAGACTGAGTAGTCAGTACTTGGAACAAGCTCTACTTAAGGGTACAATTGTTAAAGGAGAAAAATGGCACACAAACCTTTTGTTGTTCATGCTATTGTGCCTTTTAAAGTTTTGGTTCTGAATTCTCTATGATGAAAATAAGCTCTGATGAAAATAATGATGGGATACAATGTGCCAAAAATCCATGGGATCAATGATGTCCACTCACTTGTGCAGTGGAAATCCACTTGTGCAACATAGCTTCCAGATTGTCTTCTCCCCGCTTCCCAACAGTTCAGTGAAGCTTTCTTCCTGTATGTATCACTAGGATCAAAGACCTGAAGATTGTTCAGAGTTGGCTTGCAAGCCATGGGAAGAATTAAAAGCATCTGCAATAATATTTGCCTCTCTGCTCAAGTGACAATTAAAATGCCTTAAAACACTGAAAGTAGATTCACTTTTTATTTATTTGACATTTGAAAATCAGAAATATTGTCTGTCAAAATATATGTTTAAAATCCTTTTCAATTTTGTAAGGTGTTTAATTGAATCATTTTCAGCTCACAACCCTTTTGTGTTTCTACTAAGCAGTGGCGTAGTGTGGGGGGTGCAGGGGGGGCCGGCCGCACCGGGCGCAACATCTGGGGGGCGCGCGCTCGCACTCGCAGCTCTCTGCCCCTACCTGGCTTGGGTAGGGTTAGGGGGCGCAAATTACTTGCCTTGCCCCGGGTGCTGACAACCCACGCTACGCCACTGCTACTAAGGAATTATTAGACATTCTGGCTTCACAGCTTGCAACTGCTACATGCAGGCATGTGCTTGAAAAGGCAGCTTGTAATTTGTAGGTAACAAAATGTTCTTTTTTGGGGGGGGAACCCCACCCCAAATGTATTTGGAATTTTAGTCAATGGTGCTTAAGCAGGATTAGAGGAAACAGCTGGCTAAACAAATATTGGGGGCAGAGTGGATGCAATGGTATAAATTAATAATGTTGGTCTTTATTTATGACATGAATGGGAGGTTTTGTGGCAGTATAATGTATTAACCATGGTCATCATGTGCCACCTAGTGGATCTGACAGGATTTTACTACCTTAAAAAAAACGTTTTTCTCAAAAAAAATTCCACACTTCTGTAGCCAATCCAGCATATAAATGAACTTTTAACAAGTAATTAACAGCTCCTGGCTGGCTTTATTTCCTCAAGAAATTACAGTTATTTCCACTAATAATAACATTAGTTTAACGAAGCAGGGCATTTATTGTTCTGTTGCTAATTCCAAGGGTTTAAGTCACACCACACATACAGGAACAGCAATGGCTTTATCTGAATCAAGTTTTAGACATTCATATAAAAAATGCCAATGATCAGAGCTAATGCCAATAATGCTTTCAAAACTTCATCGCAAAAATGAAAACAATGCCTGTCAAAAATAATTGTGTTCCCCTTTCAAACTTTGCTGACAAAAGGCTTAACCACCTTTATAGCATTTCCCAAGATTATCCCACTCTTTGCAATCATTGTCACCTCTTTTTCTTCTCTCCTCCTTCTCTGATTTTGCTCTTCATTCTGTCAACTTGCATGCTGTGTTATATTTCCTCTCCCCTTTCGTTTCCTGGCGTGGTAAACTTGGCTACAAACCAGGCCAAATTCTGGTTTTTATAATGGGCATAATCTTCTAGACTCGCCCCTTTTAATTTATGAACAGCCCAATTTGATACAGGCAAATTGGAACAGAATCAGAGGAGGGCAATGAAGTTGGCCAGTGGTATGGAAAACAATCTCCATGAGGAGCTGCTGAAGGAACTGTAGCTAGGAGAAGAGAACCCTGACTGTCTATTACATGGTAGAGGGCAAAGATTTGTTCTTTGCTGCTGCAGAAAGCAGAACTAGATCTAACACACTTCAGTTGCCCAGGAAGAGAAATTTGATAATGGAACCAAACACCTAGAGGGTTGTTAAGCTCCTCCTCAATGGAGAATTTTTCAAGCAGAGTTTCAGCAGCCACAGGTTGGAAATGCAGAAGCTCCAGATTTCCTGCATCCAGAAAGGGTTGGACATTACATGGCCTAAAAGGCCTTCTCCAACTCATAGGTTAGGAGTTACAGTGGTACCTCGCAAGACGAATGCCTTGCAAGACAAAAAACTCGCTAGACGAAAGGGTTTTTTGTTTTTTGAGCTGCTTCGCAAGACGGAAACGTCTTGCAAGTTTGTTTCCTTTTTCTTAACACCGTTAATACAGTTGCGACTTGACTTCGAGGAGCAACTCATAGAACGCGGTGTGGTAGCCTTTTTTGAGGTTTTTGAGGACTTTGGTGATTTTTGAAGCTTTTCCAAAACTTTCCCGACACCGTGCTTCGCAAGACGAAAAAAATCGCAAGACGACAAAATTCGCGGAACGAATTAATTTCGTCTTGCGAGGCACCACTGTATGCAATTATCCATAAATCTACAGTGGTGCCTCGCAAGACGAAATTAATTCGTTCCGCAAGTTTTGTCATCTTGCGATTTTTTTCGTCTTGCGAAGCAGCTCAAAAAACAAAAAACCCTTTTGTCTAGCAAGTTTTTTGTCTTGCGAGGCATTCGTCTTGCGAGGTACCACTGTATTCATGTATTTAAAGTATTCTAGTTGCTTTTTAGAGCTACAACAAAACGACGTTCACACGGGAGCAGGGCAAGATAAAAAGATTTAACAGCCACATTAGCAAGCATACAGGAATAATTACAAAGCTGCTCGGTAGCACCTTAGTTAATTATGACTCAATAAAAGGCAGCATTGAAGAAGAAGCTCTTTAGCGCTCACCTAAACACCTGTGCAGTTGGGGCAAGACACAACTTGAGGGAGGGAGTTTCTGCAGTTCTGGGGCTACCCCTGAAGTCTACTGCATCTTCAACTGAATCCCACCTAGTAAACAGTCTTCACAGCCTATAGCAACAAATGGAGGTTTTGGAGAGCAGGAAATTCTAGAAAGAAGCTACAGCTATGAAGGCTCCTTCTGTTGGTTAGAAGCTATACAGGGGTGCAAGGCAAGTACAGTGGTATCTCGGGTTAAGAACTTAATTCATTCTGGAGGTCCATTCTTAACCTGAAACTGTTCTTAACCTGAGGTACCACTTTAGCTACTAGGGCCTCCCGCTGCTGCTGCTGCGTGATTTGTGTTCACATCCTGAAGCAAAGTTCTTAACCCAAGGTACTATTTCTGGGTTAGTGGAGTCTGTAACCTGAAGCATATGTAACCTGAAGCATCTCTAACCCGAGGTACCACTGTCGTTTCTTAATGTAGACACTTTATGACTCCCTTCTCATTTATAGTAAGCCTATGGATAATTGTTTTATATATAAAATATTCTACCATTCTATAGGGACAGGGTTAGGTGGCCTGTGAAGCTCTTTTTCAATACTAAGATTCAGCAATACTTGCAAAATACAAAACATCACAAGTTTAATTTGGATTTTGGTTACATGGGATGGGGAGATGAAGGAAACAGCAACACTGCCACTATGTGAAAAGATTCCTTGCCCCCTTTACTCGGCTTCAGAACAGGTAGCTTTCCTTTAATTAATACAACAGAGGAAATCCTGAACATTACTGATTGCACTAAAATCAAACATGTAAAAGAGGCAGTAGGAACAATCCGCCTGAAGACCATTCTGAGTGCTTGGAAAACTTTTTAAAAACCAAAACCATAACCCAGAGCTATGTGAAATATTACTTTAATAAGCTGCTGGTATGAGCTAATGGCTGAAGTAAGCAAGAGTTTTCCTTTCTCACGAGAAAGGTGAAATTTGGAAAATGCAACAGTGCTTCATAAAATGCAAGCAGATAATGGGGCCAATATATATATATGATTTCATAGTTCATGGGTGGAGACAAGAGATCTTTAACAGAAACAAAATTAATAGCTCAGGAGACTGTTACCAGATACTTGCCTCCTGCTTAGAAAATAAATGTCAAATTGACATTTTATCTAGTAGCAAGGGACTATTATCTTGCCACGGCATTCCATTAACAAAATCTTTTAATTATTTTAAAGGCTAACAGAATGACAGTGGAGACAAGGTAGATAAAATGTGTGCATAGCAGATTGTTGAGTAGCAAAAGAAACAAATGCTAGCTTGGGGGAGGGACAGAGATTTAGTAGCATGAATTGCTGGAGAGCACAAGCAGGGAGAGTGCTGTCAGGTTACCTGTCCTGCTAATGGGCTTTGCACAGGCCACTGTGGGAACAGGATGCAGGGCTTTTCCTATGTTCTTAGCACGAATATAGGAATGGCAGGTGTTCTTCTACACCATTAACATGGTGGCGTGTGGTGTGCAGCAAAAGCTTGGGCATATTGGCTTCCCTTGGTCATATTTTGCCACTTCAGGTATGAAGCCTCAGATGAGATGTATTTATCCAAACACTTAATATAGAGTCACTGCTTGATACAAGTCAGACCAATGAGTTACAAGCACCATATGGGAAGCCACTGCATGGTAGCTATATAGTGTGTGTCACTATGGAGATTCTTTTTTGAGTGTTGCATGCCATAGAGAGAGCAGGTAGAGAGGCTAAAGTGAGAATGCAATGGCAATTCACAGTGCTTCAGATTAGAATGGTCTGTATTTCACAATCATAAAGTGGAGGCCATGTGGTAGAATATAATCATAATCACTAGTTTATTTATATCATAACAATAATATCTAAGGAGTTCAATATGGTACAAATTATACAAGGCTTGTAGTACTAGAGAATTTTAAGGGTTTACAGTGTCTCATGAGAACACAGGAAGGCACTTTATTCTGAGCTAAACCAATTTTCCGTCTAGCTTAGTATTGTCTTGCTTTCCAGTCTCAAGCAGAAGTCAGTTACATCCCTATCTGGAAATCTGAACCTAAGAGCTTTTGCATGCTCTACTACTTGGATATCGAAGCATGATATTAACAAATATATCCTCCTTGCCAAATTCAGGTTTCTGATTAATGCTATCTCTTTATGTACATTATATTATATACAGACATACACATCCATATGCATATGTAGTTATATGCTTGTACAGAATGCATAATGGTTTTATCTGAAAACAAACCATTCAGAACATGGAGGTTGTTTTTGCTGTTCTTCCCGATTGAGAGCCTATTGTTTTAGCCTGTACACTATTGCTGACTTATGGTTCTTTGCATACTGGCCATAGATTCCCATTGATTCGCAACTGGTACCTCATTGTTTGCATGGCTAGAGGCTGGTACCAACTGTAACTGTTTTAAAGCGCATTTCCGAAAAGCTCACATCACAATGCAAACCTATTCATTTAAACACCAGTCCCATGAATAAATGATGCAAAACATGGTGTCAGGTTTTGTACAACTATTCCTGGAAGAGAAACACAAATGTGCTTTTCAGAACTTGATCAACATATTAGAGAAGCGTGAGAAAGGCATTAGGATATGAATGGATTTTACAGTGTTGAATGGATACTGGTTAAATTCATTGGGTTGGTGGACCCAAAGTTTGGTTAAAAATGAAAAAGAAGTTGTTTTCAAAGGAATATAGGTTGGATTGTAGGAAAATCATGCTATCATACATATCTCACACTTGCACGTACTAGAAAGGATCCCCACAGCGCTCAGTGACACCTTTTGACTTGCCTGCTCGTCCCCTGATCGGTGGGCATAATGTTAAGAGGAACTTCATGTGCCTCAACATCATTGCTTATAATGGAACAGTCATGTGTGGGTCCAGTAGCCAAAGCCTTTCTCAAGGGCTGTACATTTTTTTTTTCCTATTTGAGCAATTTACCCTTCTCCTAAGGTTACTTGGGTATAAAGAAAAATATTGGTGCTGGAAATTTATCTCTCAGTCTTGAGAGACTATTCTATCCTGGGCTATTTGTCCAACTCACAAAACATTTTTGTGATTGTGACTTAACATTATGCTTGGGGTTATTTGGAATTGTAGCATACACAGGAGCTAGAAGAATATACCATCTTGTAAAAATCCATGAACATTTTGGAAAATTCAACATGCACTACCCTATTGAGAAAACAGTCTTTATTTTCTTTCTCCGTGTTTTAAAATGTTTGACTATCATATCCTTATTATGACTACCATACCCTTGTTATGAGGAACATATAAGTACCTAACAATAACAAAAAAATATTTTGGCATTGTTAGCTGAATTAAAAATAGTATAATATTCATCCAAAATTATGAACATAGCAAATCAGAAGCAATAACTGAATGGGAATATGATTATTATTGGTGAATTCTAACTGCATGTTATGGTTAATTCTGCATTATTAATTTATATATAATAGTGTACATTGTGCTTCCACCCAGTGGCATGCTCTTTTATTGCAAGATACAATAACAGTTGACACTGTCATTTCTGCTTGAAAACACCAGTTGAGCTTTTCAGAAAACAAAAATTTCAGAATTCCCAGAAAATTAGGGCACAATGTTAATTTTACTTAAGTCACAGAAACCTAACAGTCATTTTATGGAATTTTAACTGTACAATTACAGAAATGATCTTACTGTTTTTAGTTTATTGAGTATGTGTCATTTGTATTTTGCCTCATTTAATCATGCTATACACTGCATCATTAGCTTTTAGCTGTGAGGTGGATTATAAATGTGCAAGACAGAACAAGTAAGATAGTTAAATCCTCAATACATTGTTGCATTTGTATAATCAGGAAAATTCGTTTTTCCTTTGGTCCATTGAAAGATACTGCACCTGTGCTCTAGGGGTAACCAACTTGGTCCCCTCCAGATATAGTTGGACTCCAACTTCCATAACCCCTGACCACTGGCCATTCTGGTGTCCCAACAACCTCTGGAAAGCACCACAAGGGCTACCTCTGGCCTGGATTACAGGATCTCCTGATTTATGTGAGTGTTTCTTGTAGACTGTGCAGATCAGACACAGTCAGACAAACACAGCATTTGGGTGAATGTGTGCATAGTCTGGTTCAAAATGGAAATAGAGAGTAATGGGAGTCAACAAACTGAGCTCCTTCAAGATTTGCACATGTTTAACCACATTCTGGTTTCACCTTATTTTTGAAGATTTTTAGGATGCGGCCTTTCATGATCTTGATGCTTGAACCATTCACAAAACAATTCATCATAAATTTATGTTTATGCCATGGAATAGTTTATGGTGTTTATCCAGTGGAAAAAGTCAACTTGTGTTTACTTCAAGCTTCAAAAATATGTTTGCATGAAATGCATAAATCATCTTCAAAGTACCTTGGTCTAAATAAGACTTGGACTTGAGGTTTTGTTATGAACTGATGGCATTTCAAGCTCCATTTTCAATTATATATTTGTTCTGCCTTTCTTGTAAATGATGTTTGTGACACATCAGCTATTTCTTTTGACTTATGTTAGTATGTTTGCTAACTCAGGATCCTCCCCTCATAAACTCCCTTCAGCAGTTATTTCTGGCAATGTGTGCCTTCGAACCTGGTTTTAGCAATGTTTATGCCAGTGTACTTGCTTATTTGCGTGATTTGTTTCCACTGATAAACAGAGTAAGGCGATTCCTAACCATAGATTCCGCTCGCTAAGAAATGAGACTTTGTTTTTCACATTCAAAACAGAACATTTTCAACAGTAATATCTTATGTCTTTGAAGGTTCATTCCAACATAGAGTCTAATGAACTCAAATTAGTTGCCCTAGAGTCACACAGTTAATAGCATATGCAGGCTAATAATCCCTCTCAACTTTACACTGCCTACAAGGTGTAGCAGTAAATTTGAGGTTGCAATCAATACTAGAAGACAAGGGGAAAATACCCACTATAATCAAAAGCTCTTTCCTGCTATCTGTTGTCATAGCAGGGTAAGTTAAAATTTAAGTTGCATCACAGAAAATGGGGAGAATATTGCTTCTCCAGTATCAAAACATGATATTCCCAATGAAAAGATAGTTGCTCTTGAGGCCCATTGCATTTAGCGGGTTTAAGTTAATTGCACTAATTAGTGCAGTGGTATTAACTATCTCTGGAGCAGGGTGTAATGATCTGTGGTACGCAGGATTGTTAATTTGGGATGGAATCTGATTAATAACATTTCAGTATTCTCTGGTTCAAGCAGGGCTGTCTTAAGCATATCCGGCACCGTGGTGCAAAGCTCCCTCTGGTGGCCTGCCCCCCATTTCCCAGAGTTGTCCACCTTTTTTTAGGGAGGATGGTGTTGCCAGTAGGGCTGGAGGAGGTGGGCAGTATTTGGAGGGCGGCTCCTCTGGCGGGGAAGAGGTGGAGGCTGGACGCGGCGCCTCCCAACTCAGCTGGCCGCTTCGTGCCACGGTGGCCATGGCAGACAGAGGCTCTGGGCGCGGTGCTGCTTCAGCGCTGCATGGCAGAGGCAGGCAAGGGCAGCAAGCTGATGCCAGGAGGCGCTGCTTCCAGCCTCCACCTCTTCCCTGGTGCCCTCCAGAACTTGGCACCCTGGTACCCCGCGCCACTAGCCTCTATGGGTAAGACGCCCCTGAGTTCAAGAGTAGCAAACTAGTTGTTGGAGGTGCCCAGTCAGCCTGGTCAGTAGTCAGGGATGATGGAAATTGTAGTCCAACAACATCTGAAGTGCCACAGTTTAGCCACCCTGGCTGTAGTCAGTGTCAACCCAGGATACACCTCTGACTCAACAATATTGGCAACATTAGTGACAAAATTACTGACATCTAGCAATCATTAATGTTCTCTTAGGGTTGCTTCCTAGCTCTAGGTTTTACCCATTAATTTAAGTGACCCTATTATTCATGTTATCCAAACAGTCATTGTTATAATATTCTGCATTTTAGGAAACAGACTGATAAAAATCCAGAGTTTACAATCCTTCAAAATGGATTGCTATCAACAACCAAAGGTTGCCTAGAGGAAATTAGGAGATAATGTGACTTGAATAAAAGATAGACAATAGTCTTTCACTATCGGGGGGGGGGGGGAGTATTCTAGCACTTGCAGAAATGTTGTCTAGTGTGAAACACATCACTTCATTTCAAATCAGGTAATACTGATCTAAACATTGGAGGCTTATTTCCAATAGGTAGAATGATCTATTTAGGTGGCGCTATTTTATCTGAAGAGGTATTCAAAGGGCAGAGCAAGAGTCCAAGCTATGACCATTGTTGGTTGACCCAGTTTAATGTGCTGAGTCCTTGCCAGAACTGAATTAGAACTGACAGGATGAGGGGAACCTGTCATTATCAGATGTAAGCTCCATGCCTTGAGAGGAGTTCACAATTCCATAAAGGTGCAGACTAACGATGTCCTCAATCCATGCTGATACTGCCAGTGCTGCAAGTGATAGACCTAGAGGAAGCATCACCCTTGCTCTGAAAGCACAGCACCTTCCCTCAGCTCCAAATACCTGGGCAAAGTGGAATACTAACTTGACTCCTCCCATATTTGCAAGAAAGAAGCCTGTCCACTGATGATGGGGCAGAGCGGGGATCAGTATCTTTCTAAGTGCAAGAATGAAGTACATCTAAAACACCACAGCTTATTGTCAGTGAAATATATGCATTGGGCACATGTAGTTTTGTTCCCATCAAGAGTATGTAGAAGATAATGTTATCCAAAAACACATCCCTCCTGTTAGTGATATTAGTGTGATAGTTACAACACAGAAAGAAAAGCAATTAAATAAAAACATTGCTGATGAATGCATGGAAGTTTCAAGTCCAAGGGACCCACACTGACAACTTTAAGCTTGAATCAAGCACTGATGACACAGTAGAAAAGTTTCGGTGAAGGGAGGATTTTTCTTCCTGCCTAATACCTAGTCAGCAGCTTCTGATTGGTGGGTTTTGGCTTCAGCCTCCAGTGTTGTCCCTCTGTGAAGCAGCATCCCTACTTACAAGGGCAGCTGGTGATAATCTTTAACTTCAAAGTGACTGTAAATATGCTTGATTACTTGGCATGGCTGCAGAGCTCAGAATAATTATTTGAATGAGCCCAATTCAAATGCTTCTGGGAAAAGCAACTTCTTTATTCTTCCTGAAATATAGATGACACAGGAATAAGTCAAAGATACAGCTGCATGAAATAGATAAGTTAAGGACTAGAAAGGTCATGATATCCTTAAAATACAGATTTCGATTTAATACTAGCAGGAATTTTGGCAGAATTTCTTATCAGGCAAAGGTAGTGATATTCCAAATACAATTCTTTTTCTGTCTCCTAACCCTCAGCCACAGGGATTAAGGATGCTTAGAGGTGAATTTGCGATACCAGCAAATAGTTAGAAGGAGGCTTCACCGCCAAGGAATTTGCAACTGCCATTTCAAAATTGCAGGTATGCATTTAAAAAAATAATAATCAAATGCTCAGAGCAACAATGACCAAGGCAATCACCTAAATATATGCCAGTCTAGCATGGGAATCAGGATAGCCACTCTTCCGCTATTGCAGTAAAAGGGATGTTATAATACAAACAGCATGTGTATGGAATATATTAGCTCCTAATTTCTTCCAATAGCAAAGTATTTAATAAAGGCTAATTGTATAACTTTGTTAGAATTCGTATTTTGTTAGTTAATTGTTGCTGCCATTTATTTGGAATGTTTTATTTTTTCCTGCAATATAATTCTTCCTTCATTTAGTTTTTATTGGGTGAGATCCACAGTAATCTGGACCTCTTCTCCTGGGTTGGGTGAGGAGTTTGACCTAGGCACAGAGGTTCCTGCACCCAACTCTGCCATGCTCTGAGTGCACCCACAAAATGAAATGAGGTGGGTAACCATTGGGGAGAGGGGTCCTGGGTTATGGAGCAGCCTTCCCACAGAGGTTAGACCAGCATCATCTTTGTGGCCTTTTGAGCACCAAGTGACTCTTCTATTCAGACCTTTAAATAAGCCATGTCTATCTAGGCCTTTCCATTTTAAATTGAGTTCTGCTTCAATTTTGTTTCAGTTTTTAAATTAATTTGTTGCAGTTTTCTTGTTTGCTTGTTGTTAACATTTGTTAACAAATGTTAACAAAGGGACGCGGGTGGCGCTGTGGGTTAAACCACAGAGCCTAGGACTTGCTGATCCAGCTCCCATCAGCCTCAGCCAATATGGCTAGTGGTCAGGGATGATGAGAGCTGTAGTCTAATGATAGATGGGGGGGGCAATCTGACTACCCCTGGTCTATGCCATTGGTGCAGTTCTTCTCAACTGACTTGCTGGCAGAGTTCATCTCAATGGAAAAAATTATTTTCCTGGCTATACAGACTATTAGAGTGCAGTACATTATACTCAAGCAACATGTGGGTGGCAGCACATTGGCTACCCCAAGCTAGAGATAGTTACTCTGGATTGTTGCCAGACTAAAGAAATAGCAAAGAATTAGTTAATAATAAGGAGGAATTTCAAAAATATCTTCCTGGCACAAAAACACACACCATTCTTAGAAACATAAAAGTAAACCCTACAATAGAACTGTTAAATAGGGTCTGTAAGCTGGAAATGTCTTTCTGTGATGGAAAGATGACACATGTCCCTCTGTGTCAACATAATTTTTCTCAATAAAATTTCATTTAAGAGATATAAATAGACACGTTAGCAGGGGTGAATTAGGGTTGAAGTCTCTTTCCTTGAAACAAATGTGTCTGCAATTTGCCATTTCTGGATCATTTGATTGAAGGGTGGAAATTAAAGCATTTGTGTGCAGGTCATATGGGTGAGGATATTCCCGTTTGGAAAGAGTGGCTGTTCTTGTGATCCTCAGCAGTATTGGTAGCCATTTGTCCTGTAAATTAATGCACACACGTTGTATCCTTAGGCATAACCATTCATAAAGAATGGTGCAGAGCTGCACTGCAGTCTCCAGCATTCCTTTTCTGACAATTTTGCTCAAGGTTAGATAGCAATATGCTATAGCTCTTGTCTAGTGCAGATCATTCTCTGCATCCCATATAGTGAAAACTTGCAGAGCCTAATCTCCTATTTACATTTGGGACACACCTGGGTGAGCTAGTTTTTATCACCTTGTGCTAATCTCCTAAAACCACATTGCTACAATGTATACAACAAGCAAGGTTAAAGCAAAATGAAAGTGCAGAAGATACATCATATTATCTAGAAGAAAGCATAGATGTGTGGAATATACTAATAAATTAGATTCTGCTACAGTATTTCACTGCTGGAGAAAAAGCAGAAGAAATACCTAGCCTCCCAGCAAAAAAAAGTTTGGAGAAAGAACAATACAGTACTAAAGACTGTGAAACATTACCATCAAGGTAAGTAGAAAAAGAAACAGGTGGTTCAGTGAATCACACCAGGTCTGCTCATCATGCTGTGTTTGATGCCTGAGCTTTGGCTAAAGAAAGCAAATGTGATGAGCAGGAATGAAAATGGGAAAGAAGGGTTGCATTGGGGCCAATTAACTATCATCACTCTATCTGAAGGTAGAGATATGATGGCCTCCAGCAAAGACAATATGGCAGGCAGTGCTGAAGAAAGGATCTTGTTAATGTTAAGGAACATTAATTGTGAAGGTGCAGGAACAGAAACCAGATCAGCACTATCTGTTGGTCACTTGGCTGTTCCAGGATACTGAATACAGAGGCTGGCTTGCTTAACTCTCTTTCTCCTGGAATGCTTATTATACCTTTCTAAGATGTGATAAATGTGATTTACACATGTGTAAAAATGCATATAAAAATGCATATAAAAATGCAAATAACAACAACAAATAATAATACACATTATGGCAAATTGTGGGACATAGGTGGTGCTGTGGTGTAAACCACTGAGCCTTGGACTTGCCGATCAGAAGGATGGTGGTTCGAATCCCCATGATGGGGTGAGCTCCCATTGTTCAGTCCCAGCTCCTGCCAACCTAGCAGTTTGAAAGCACTTCAAAGTGCAAGTAGATAAACAGGTACCATTCTGGTGGGAAGGTAAACAGCGTTTCCGTGCGCTGCTCTGGTTTTGCCAGAAGCGGCTTAGTCATGCTGGCCATATGACCTGGAAAACTGTCTGCGGAAGCAGATGAACGCTGGCTCCCTCGGCCAGTAAAGCCAGATGAGCGCCACAATCCCAGAGTCGTTTGTGAATGGACTTAACTGTCAGGGGTCCTTTACCTTTTTATGGGAAGCTGCTTTATACCAAGTCAGAGTGTTGGTTCATCTAGCTCATTTCTTTGTACAATGACTGGCAGCAGCTCTGTGGGGTTTGAGGCAGGAGTCTTTCTGAGCCCTAGAGTGAATGAACCTGAGGCTTTCTGCTTGCAAAGAAGATGCTCTACCACTGAGTTCCAGCCCTTCCTTCAAGAGGCCTTGATTGCATGGGCAGAACCTGGGCACCTACGATAACCAAATACGCTGAAGTAAATGTAGCAGTCATCATGGGAGAAGAGGATTGATACTGGTTGATAACTTAGTTAAACAGAAAGGCAAGAACAGGAATCAACTGGATTGTTCTCATAATAAACGGATGTAAGAAGTGGAGTCCTCCAAGGATTTATATTGTTACTGGTGTTTTTTAACTTGTCCATAAACAATAGAATATGTGTGTATATACATATGCTTAGAGAATTATATAAACTTCTTAATTAAACAACCTCTGAGAGGTACACATAAAACAATATTAAATAATTATCAATAATATACAAATAAAAGGAGCATTTTTTGAGAGAGAGAAACCCACAATTCATAACTGGTGTGTGTCTGTGTAGACTTTCTTAAAAAAAATGTTTTTAGGACATATCTAAGATGATAGCGGGTGCAGGTGGTGCTGTGGGTTAAACCACAGAGCCTAGGACTTGCCGATCAGAAGGTTGGTGGTTCGAATCCCCGTGATGGGGTGAGCTCCTGTTGCTTGGTCTCTGCTCCTGCCAACCTAGCAGTTCAAAAGCACGTCAAAGTGCAAGTAGATAAACAGGTACCATTCTGGTGGGAAGGTAAACGGCATTTCCGTGCGCTGCTCTGGTTCGCTAGAAGTGGCTTAGTCATGCTAGCCACATGACCTGGAAGCTGTACACCGACTCTCTCGGCCAGTAAAGCGAGATGAGCGCCGCAACCCCAGAGTTGTCTGCGACTGGACCTAATGGTCAGGGGTCCCTTTACCTTTAAGATGATAGCTAGGGTGCCTGTCTAAGAGTAGAATAGGACTTCCAAGACTTAAGTGCTGTCACACTGAGAGATGGACTCCTAACAGATACAGAATGGACATAATATGGCACTTCTAAATGTGTAAGTTTCACACAGATCAAAGCACTTGTGGGGCAAGGTGATATTTCAAACAAGCTGCTCCCAAGGTGTTGTGGGCTTTTTTATGCTAATAGTAAAACCTTGAACCAGGCCCAGCAGCAAATTGGCAAGGCCATGCAGATTGTTGGGTGGAGTTCAGTTGGTAGAGCATGAGACTCTTAATTTCAGGGTTTCCCACTTTGGGAAAAAGATTCCTGAATTGCAGGGGTTGGACTAGATGACCCTCATGGTCCCTTCCAACTCTACAATCATATGATTCTATGAGATATGTAATATGCTGTGGTAAGACTCCTCTCAGCAATCATGCTGTGGTATTCTGCACTACCTGCAGTTTCCAGCCTAGCTGCAAAGGAGGGCTCACATATGGTGCATTGCATTTTTGAAGTATCCGATGCCTGAAATATTGTGGTCATGCTACCCCAGTTGAAGAACGGCTGCAGAAGTTGGACTAGCTGGCTTGGCAAAGCTGGGGCCTCAAGTGACAAGGCTGGATCCAGGAGCACCCCCAGTTGGTGTACCTTCTCCACTAAGAGTGCAACCCCATCTAGGGTGGGCATTTGGCCAGTTGCTCAGATGAGCTTGGTTTATTTCCCCACATCCAGGCCACCAGTAGATCTAGACACTGTCCTAGGGCCTATGCGGTGTTTCCTGATTCAGATATTTTGGAGAAACAGAGCTGAGCATCATCGGCATGCTGTTAGCACCTTGTTCCAAATTTTGTAATGGCCATTTCTAGCCGAGATGCTTTTTAACTGGAATCAACCAGAAATTGAACCTAACTGAGCTATGTCCTCCGACTATGAATATGCAACCTGAAGTAGTGATCCACAAAGTGCTCTAGCTTGCATACTTAAGCATACTTAAGGTTAGTCATGTTGATTCTAACTGATCTGGATTAAGGACAAATATGCTATTTTCACTGCTTTGGGGAATGCAGCCATTATGGCTCAAGGCATGCAAATGGATTTTGGAGTCCATCCCTAAAAAATACCATCTGTTGGGAAACACGTGCTCCAAGTCAGAGCACTTTCTTTTGTTTCAACTTCATCACTGATCATTCCTCTTGAAATGATGCCGTCATGTATATTCTGGTTCATGGGGCATCTTCTTCTCTTTCTTCTTGTATCTGATGGTGGGTTTACACTAGCACTTCTACCCCCCCAAATTTTTGCCAGTTCTCCTACCTCCTGCAACCTCCTGTGTCATTCGGTAGGGTGTGTTGAATTTTTCAACTTTAAAATTCCAAAAATGTGGGGTACTAAAAATTTATAACATGACTTGAAATTAAAAAAAGATGTTTTGCTTACATTAATATAATTTAGTTTTGCTTGGTAAGTACAATATGTTTAAAATTGCATAGAAATAATTAATAATAATGATTGTCAAGTACTCACAGATATATTATTTATCATTATTAAAATAAGTAAAATGATTGTCAAGTACTTGCAGTTATATTATATATTATTATTGTTTATTATTATATAGCCTTACCTGGCATTTTCAGAAGGCAGAATTACAATTCTTTGGTTTTTCGAGAGCAGTTTATGTGCTTTTTAATCAAATGTAGATTTACCAAGCTCAATTTTGTCAGATCACAAAAATAATAGCATATTTAAATTATTCACACCCCCAAAAAACATATTTTTAAGTACTAAATTTCACCCCCTAAAGGGACATTCCTTAGTTACAGTTGTGCCTTGGTTTTTGGGCAGCTTAGTTCTCGAACCCGGAAGTGACTGTTCCAGTTTGTGAACTATTTCTGGAAGCTGAACATCTGACGGCTTTTTTACTGCTTCCGACTGGCTGCAGGAGCTTCCTGCAGCCAATCAGAAGCCGTGCTTTGGTTTCTGAACATTTTGGAAGTCGAACAGACTTCCGGAACAGATTCCATTTGACTTCCAAGGTACGACTGTATACAGTAGCTGTTCAACTTCAGACATTCTTGGAAGGTGTGCATTACCTTGACTTGTTTCATCCTGAGTTGAGCCTTGGGTTTCATACCAAAATGGCTGTTTGCTCTGATGTGTGACCTATCTCAGGAGAAAGTCAGGGGGCGTATGACCTTGCTACTTCTTGATTTCTCAGTGGTTTTTGATACAAATGACCATGATACCCTACTTCAGGCATCCCCAAACTCGGCCCCTCCAGATGTTTTGGGACTACAATTCCCATCACCCCTGACCACTGGTCCTGTTAGCTTGGGATGATGGGAGTGTAGTCCCAAAACATCTGGAGGGCTGAGTTTGGGGGTGCCTGCCCTACTTGATCTGCAATGTGATTTGGAAATTGGAATCACAGTTCTCATGGCCTGGGTGGTGGCATATGTGTGTTTGCACCTACAATTCCAAAATAACTCCATAATTTATTTATTTTAAAAAACCTCCACCGCAATCTCATTGCAGCCTGGTTTCTATAGTAATCCATAGGCCTGAATGCTACAAAATATGTGACCAGACTGCAAGCTAATAGACATCTTGTTCAAGTTTTGATAATAATTACGGAAGCTATCTCAGCTCCACCAAGCCATATGCTTACTCGCAAGAGCAAAACCATTAGGCCAAGCAAGATGCTTGCATTTAATTTAAATATTGCAAAGATACGACAATTTAAAATCAGATAGGTCAGCACTTCCACTCAAGTACGCTTTAATAAATATGCACTAGGATTGTAAAACAATTATTCTATTAACTGTTGATGCATATTTACATGAGCTGCTGAGTCTTCAGCAAACCTACACATTAGTGATAAAACATCCTTGCTGTGCCAGCAGAATATAACAGACAGTGATGCTATATTGGCTCTGTGTTTGGTAGATCCCAAGCTTAACAATCATTTGCTGGTGGACCAAATCTTAGAACGACATCACTCCATTGCTTAAAGAGCTTGCAAATGAAATTAAAGTATGTTTCAGCTTTTCATATGATTTTATCCAGCCAGCGACAAATGTTTAAATATGGATGATGTGGGGGGGTGGAGAACAACTTTCCATTCAACAAGCCCTTTCAGGTGTTCAGTAAACATGGAGAGTGGGGGACCTGCCATCCTCACTCTCAGTGTCTCCTACATAGATCTGAACAATTATATGCACATGCACTCTGCATGTTCAAATAGAAGTACAAGTGAGAGGCTCCCAGTTGCACAGGGAGAATTAATGTACATATGCAGCATACTTGTATGTGCATAGCTCTACTGGGGTCTCTGAATCTTAATCAAGGATCTTGCTTTGTCTTATCCATGACTTCCAAACGTTTACATGCAGCTACTGTGTTTGATCATAGGCTGTCTGCTACCCAAATTGTTGGAAACTTCCTGGAGTATGGCAGACCCCACTGCCCCCGCAAAAAAAATATGTGCCTACTTTAAGAAGAAAGGAACAAAGAATACAACTTCACTTTCAGTGGTGTTCATTTAGTCAGATATAATCAAATCCATTACCTAGAATAAATTAGATTGGCAGAATATATGTGGGACCGTGTGTGTACAAATCTGACATGTAGAAGCTGAGAAATACTTCGTTATTTGGAAAACAGCCTATTGTTCTCCTCTGTAGAACCTAGCAGGTTGGCAAGGAGCCTGTACACGTTATTTGCTTACCATCACATCTTTATATCCACCACACATTTAAATGATAACAGATATCCATTGTACTCAGATTTCTTTTATGAGACATCTCAAGATTTGATTTGATATTTGTATTACAAAATGTCTACCTGTCCTAGCAATGTATTTACCCTCTTGATATAAATGACAGCTGGTTGTTATTCAACCAGGTTTTTTTCTTTTTTTTATAAGATATTTATTGAGATTTTTTGAAATATTACAGTGCAAATGAAAAAGAAAAAAGAGAGAAAGATACAAAATAAAAACAGTTAAAAACACACATATTTTCCACTACTTATTTTCCTTTAGCTTATTTCCCAGACCTCCTCATACCTCCCTTTTTTGTATTCCACTTCAATTTATTGGTTCAGCAAATCCTTACCATTAGATTTTAACCCATTTATAACCCTTTTTTCATATTCTCTTAGAGCATTACAGCTGGAAACCGCTTAATTACTATCCAACATCATTCTATCATTCATTAATTTTACAATATTTCTGTAGATAGTCTTTAAATTTCTTCCAATCTTCTTCCACCGACTCTTCTCCCTGGTCTCGGATTCTGCCAGTCATCTCTGCCAATTCCATATAGTCCATCACCTTCATCTGCCATTCTTCCAAAGTGGGTAGATCTTGTGACAAGGAAAAATCAACCAGGTTTTTTTACCCAGAGTAGGCCTATTGAAATCAATAGGCCTCATTTAGGCATGTTCATTCACTTCACTGGATCTGCTCTGAATAAAACTTAGTTGAATCCCATGCATAATGTGTAAAATTATCTTGAACAGAAATTACAATAACACTTTCCCCCTCACATATGTTTTTATTCTGTTTTGTAGGTTTGTTTTTTGTTTACCATACATATGAGAATAGATATTCTTGCAAGAAAGTTTACATTTACAAGAACAAAACACAACAATGATAAAAGGATATGATTTTTTTCAATTTAATAAAGATATAATCAAGGCCTAATAAGCACAACATAACAGATAATGTAGAATTATTATACACATTATAGTGCTGGAATATGCAATTGGAAGTCCTGAGGCCAAATCTGTGCCTGCTGAGGAGTACCAGTCTTCTTTCTCCATTGCTATGCATTCTCGTCTTCAAAGTGACCATCTTCTAAAAATAACTGCTAGTTATGTCTATAGTGTAAGCAAACACATTTGCATGATAAGGTGTTCCCTGTTTTCTTACATTACCATTAATGCAGAATGATGAATATTGAGAATAATTTTGGAAACCTGTTAGATTTATGTTGAAAATACTTCATTTACAGAGCTATAGTGTTTGGGGTACAGTTCTTGTCTCCTATTTCTAGGGAGAGCCAAATGTCTACCTTTCAGACTTCTCTAGTTATCAGTGTGTATTGTACGTGTGTAGGAACTTTTATCTTTCTGAAGGGCTTGGAAGGTATGATATCTAGGGCCAGATTAAGACATGCTGAGGCCCTAAGCTATGTCAAGTTTTAGAAGCCCCATAGTATTACCAGTACCCCTTTCCCAAAAGTGCATTATAATGTAAAACCTAGTGCTGGTGAGGTTGTATTTAGAGGCCCCTCATAGTCTGAGCCCTTGAGCTGTAGTTTACCTAGCCTGTGCGAAAATTTGGCACTGATGGTTACCATTTCAAATTATATTAGAAGTCTCCTAGTTCAGGAAATTGTTGCATAAATGTCTCCCCTTCAGACTTTTACAGAAATAAGGGTATCTTGGACTGTGTGTGTACAAAGCTTCAGCTTCCTAGTTCATGGAGTAAATGTCATAAGTGTTTCAGTGTACACTTGAGTTCCCTTCACACATTACATGGTGTAAAGGAAGTCCAGAAACAGAGCAAGAAGTGGGGTCATACTGCTGTTCTAGCCCAAGAATATGATGTCAGAAGTGAGGCCGGAAGCACTGCCACGCTTCTTCACATCATGAGTGCCCTACACTTTTATCCCATCTGTTCTAGGAGACAGGTGCACAATTGTCTCCCCTTCAGATTTTTAGCATCATCAGTGGTGTCTTGGGCTATATGCTTGCAACAAGGAATTTCCCCCAGGGAAAAATCTCTCTAACCAGTTCAGGGATTTGAAGGGAGGTAGGATACATGTTAGCCATTCCTGTTCTCATGGGCTGCAGCTGCAGCCCTTTACATCTTGAGTAGGAAGATCTGAAGGGGGAAGCTTTAGTGTGTTGTATTGTCAACCTCCATGTGAATGGATCCCCCAACCATGCAGGATTCCCATTCATGTGAAAGATTCTGAGCATGTTACACTTAACACAGCAAGATATCCTGTTCAGACCTACAGGACTTTTCAATACATTGTAGCAGGGAAGGGAACAATGGAAGAGGGTGTTCTGGGGACCTATAAAAGTGAACACCTGAGTAGGGTTTCTGAGTTTACTGTTTTGGGGGAGAAAAGCATCAGTGTCCTTTATACTTTTCTAATAAACAAGAAGTCTTGGATCATTTACCAAATTCCAGGATTCTTTCTAACAGACTGGGAAATATCCTAGCATTTTCAATACTTCAGTCTGCCAATCGGTGAAGCCCAGGCAAATATAGATTCATCTGAGGTATCAATTAATAATGTAGCTTAGCCATGCATCAGAACTAAAACAATGATAATCTATAACACTCTTTGACACTTGGGAAAGATTTTGCTTATTGCTGTATGAATATTCCACTTCATTAAATAATGTGTCTGCATTTTTTCCCTGTTGAGTATTCAGAACCAATACACTTTGTTAAGAAGGTCTTTTAAGCTCCCCTAGTCAGAGGCACACATACACATGTAAACAGATGTGCTTTGCCCATTTGGGATTTTCTTGTGAGTGCTTTTCATTCTGTCACACCCAGACAGGAAGTTTCTTATTTATTTTCACCCTTGGTGGAACGTTGTGTGACTAAATTGTTTACCTGGGAACTACACAAAACTTAGGCCTTATAATTTTTCTCTTGCTGGTGCCATTTGCAACATGTACCAAGTGTTTTTCAAGGTGAGAAAAACCACAGCAGAAGGTTAACAGAGTGCAAAAACAAAAATAAAAAATCCTCTGTTCTCCAGTGCTCTTTGCCAGACTTGGTGACCTGAGGTGTATTTAGCCAGTTGTCCCATATTCTGGACAAGGTTCTACAACATGGTTTTGGAGTCTATAATTCAGCCACATTCTGCTGATGGTAACCAAATGGCACAAATAACATTTCCACATGTTAATCACACAAACCTTCACAGGGTCACTATTTCTGTATCACCCATTTGTATCACCAAACAGCATTAAATCTCTAGTGAAGTGCCACTAAGTATGCTGTTCCTATAGCAGGTATTTCATATCCCCATTCATACCACAGTGCATCTAGCTGGCAAATATTATTCAGAATAGAAACCCACTCAAAAATATGTATTTAGATAGCCATGTCTTTAATAGACCCTTCAGACAGGGCTAGGTCCAGTGCCGGATTTATGTATAGGCTAAGTAGGCTGAAGCCTAGGGCCTCTAAGTCTAGCGGGCCTCACCAACCTGCCCTCTCCCCAGTGCCGCAGTCTCCCCTCTCCCAAAATTGCAAACCCAAGACTTCATGCAAGGGCAGGGCAACTCAGGCCCAGCAACTATGAGACTCAGGGCTAGCCAATGGGGTCCAATTTGAAGCAGTGGGGCGCAGCTTGAATTTTTTTTAATTTCTTTTTTGGTAGGGCCCCAGTTCACAGCCAAAGTCTGCAAAATCTTATAGATATAAATAAAATCCATCTAGATTGCCCTGGTGCAGGGGCCCCCTTAGGAGTGGCCTGTGGGGCCCAATTTGGCTCAATTGCTCCAATTGCCTTAAGGTCAGCCTTGATGAGACTGTGCAGGGGTTGGAATGACAAGCCCTGCACCTTCTAGGTCCCTGGTGTCACCATTCAGAGTACTACTGTGCAGATAATGGACAAAGCTCATAAATTGTATCCCTTCTGGCATCCTGGCCAACTCTATTATGCTGGTGTAAACCCTGATGCACCAGAAGCCCAGAAGAGCAGCAAATAAAATCCGCTCATATGTCAGCAACTGATAAGACTTGTCAACCAGTTCTTCCAAACTCTTCCTAAATTATAAAGCTCCAAAATACAGGCCAAAAGATAGCAGGTCTGGGAAGAGTGAGGCATACAATGGACACCACCAGTGAAAAGGCCCTGCTCCATGTAACTCCTGCCCTGTCATTTGATAGAGTGCCCACTTGCCCTCCTTCTTGACATGGAAAGCTCTCTATTGGAGTCTCCAGGTCCAGTACAAAGACCATAAGAAGGGAGAGCAGGGACCTTGAAGTTCCCAACAGTTGTTAATCAAGCAAGCACACAGGTCACCTTTGTCACAGTCAGGACACCTATGTCCTGTCCAGGCCCGCACCCAATCTTGTTTTTGTACAATCTTGTTTGTTCTCAGTAACCAAATTATATTATCAACATATACAAGCAGAAAAGTTGTTTTCCTTCATTTGCAAGGAATCGTAGAAAGCAAAGTGGCACTAATAAAGAAAAGTTCCAGGGTGGCAACAGAAAGCAAACTAAAAATGCTTTTGCAGTTCATCAAAGCTATCCAGCAATATCAAGTTATAGGAAAACTGGTGCTATTAACAGTAATCCTTCTAGCTGGTTAATTGGTTTGGCAACTTCCATGCACATGACGTGTGATAATTTTTCTGAGAAAAATTATATTTTTTCCCTCAGAAATCTTTTTGTTGTATCTTTCTTCTGGAGTTTGGCCAGACATAGCAAAATCTTTGTTACAAATACTTCTTTGTTGGATCCAGTTTCTGTAGGAGGAAGACATTGGGTAGAGATTTATAAGATATTTTATCAAAGTTTCAGGCATCCAAGATGCCGTGCAAGTAATCATTGGACTTTGAAGGCTTGCATCCAGAATAGTCTTGAAGATGATAGAGAGGCAGTTAGAGTGGCTGTGAGATGTTCATGAATTCAGGCTGATAGGACGTTGTTAGGCCAAATCTATATCACTATGTTCCTATATTTCACCTACAGAAATAGTACAGGGCAAGATGAGCCAAAGCCGATTGCCTAAGGACCAATGCCACCTATAAATGTTTGCTTACCTTTTCTAGAGAGCAGCAGAGATCAGAGTCATTTTCTTCTGTTAGCTAATGGAGTAAGTATCAGTCCACTATGGAAGCTTCATAACCATAACAAAAAAAGTATTCTAACTGAGCCCAATATAGCAGATCAGGGTGGCATAAAGGTAACATGCAGAATCAACATAGGTTTCAAGGCAGAGTTTCATTTGTTTTCACTGCCACTTTTTAATTGAATTGGAATATAGATGTTTATGTTTAGCTTGTGTTTCTAATGTTTGAAGCCTCTTTTGAAGGATAGACTCTCTTCTGCGTCTTTCAAAACAGCTGATGAGCAGTTAGACAAAAGCTACTGAAATGTCCAGGATTTTTTGGGTTTCTAAGCTTTGTTGAGTAATCATGCTGATTTTTGCTGCTTGGCTAGCAATATTTTATCAGGGGCATTTGACTGATAAGCCATAAATGTCATAAGTTTTTATAAAATCCTTTTAGGTTTACAAGTGGAACTTATGAATGAACAAAGCCAAGATTGCTGAATCTGTTACACTTTTCTGTCTCTGTGCTGTGCATATAGCCAAGGCTTTATTATCAACACTATCTTCTCTAGTGTCTGTGAAGAGTATTCAATTGCATCTCAGTATCTTGGGTTAACTTACACAGCTTCTCTCATTGCAATGAGTTTTTCTTATATTTTTAAATAAAGTATCTTTGCTCACTTGGCCAGCCAGTCAAGAGCAAAACAGAACCTTGAAAAGAATATTAAAGTATCTGGTTCATGTAATTCAGTTTGATGTTGAGGTGTCTTTCTTGAGTTAGCTGGTCCTGATGGCTAAGAAAATTCTTTACCCGCAATAACTGAGATGGGATCAACTATTCTTCAAGAACAATACTTGTTCAAGAAATAGTTTTCCACATCCTTAACAACATTGTCTGGTTCTTGCATTAGATGGAAAAACATACTAAGAGCATCATTTCCAACAGCAGCTCAGGATACTTTAGGTTATTGCAGGCATCTTCCTTGTTCCTACCTTTGGCTTCAGTATTAGAATCAATGACATTGATTTCTCTATTATGACTTCCTGGATATAAAGCATGCAGTGCACTTTCTCCATAATTAGCACCAAATCTCCTTGTGGCTTTCTTCCTGTTCCTGGTCAGGCAACTCCAGCGAAGCCACATTATGGTTTTCTGCTACTTCTTCCTTTGGAGCTTGCACCACACAAAAGACAACGGCAGAAAAAGTCCATAGCTTCAGGCTGTATTGCCTCTCCTGTGAAATCTCTGTGGTCTTCTCAGGTGGGGTGACTGTCTCCCCACATACTTCCTTCCCCATGTATGCAGTCTTAGATTTGTAAAGGGAACCTGGAGGGATTTTGAGGCAATGGGAGTGATGACACAGATGCAGTAGACCCTTTTCTCTTCCTCCTCCTCCAACTTCACACAAAAGAGATGAGATCCAGTCACAAAGATTACCCTCCATGCAATTGATTAATACCTTATTAAAATGGATTGTGTATTGTGGTTTTAAAAAATATCTTGAATTCTTCCTTGAATAGTAAGACTGCTGGTCTTCTTTGTCTGCAGAACAAGAATTATGATGATAGTTTTAGTCTTGCCTAAAATAAACTAAAATATCAATTCATTAGTCTTCTTTGGTGTGAAGACTATTTACCTCTTATGAACTTACAATATTCCAGCAATATTATAAGGGTGCATAAAAGAAGTACTTCAAAAGACATATGGACAATGATATAATATACTATTATGATCTTGTGAATATCCCATTCCAAAATGTAAATATGTCTTCTAAAAGGATAGGTGGCAAGGTATAATAATAAAAACATAAGAATTATGCTCTGTAGTACTTAACATTTCAGAGTAGAGTTGGAAGGGTGTAGAGTTGGAATGGTAGAGTTGGAAGGGTGAGGATATCTAGTTCAACCCCATGCAATGCAGGAATAGTAGCATGAGTAAGGGCTCTGCTCTGTAGTTGAGTGAACCAATGTAACAATTTTCCACTTTGCTAGAATCACTTAATTATGGGAACCATTAACTCGGCATAAATCTCAGAATATTTCATAAATATTGTTTCTACTGTGATTCACTGTACTGTGTTGTGGGTGGGATTTGCATTTCTATACAAGAAGCAATTTTTGAAACACTCTTAAAATCTTGAGCAAAAAGCTTTTCCCTACAAAAATCCTGTAATCCTTTTCAAAAGTGCTGAATCCCACTATTTTTTGAAAAACAAATATTTCCTAGAGGAAGTTGTATTTCATGTTAAAGTGTGTTCTCCCTCATGGAGAGGACAGGTTGCAGGCGGGGCTGACAAGACAACTCACTGTTACTAGGCAAATGGTTTGGCTATCCTTTAAGCAGGGGCGGGCTGTTACTGGGGAAATCTAGATGTTGCCATTTGTTGATTGACAGCCCTATTTGTTAAATACAATGCTCGCAGCGAGGAACTTCCTCTTTTCGCTGCTTACTTCGGATCACCCGCCCTCCCTTCCCTAATGTTAGGCTGTTTGCTTGACCTTGCTATGCCTGTCATGGGGTCGTCTGCTTTGGGGCAGGGGCCTGGTAGGAATTTTGTCCATTTGGCTGATTAGTGTGTGCCACTTGGTTTTTGCCTACTGCGTAGCAAATCGTCACAACTTGTAAGGTTTGCGGTTAGGTATCGGTCTTGGAATTGGTTGGTGGAGGGGTATGGATTCGGCTGTGCCTGCCCCTCCAAAATGCTGCTGCAGCTGCTGCTTCAAGGGTTTTCCGTTAAAGGAACCCAGGGGCTCCCCATGCTTTTGTCCGAAACCCCCTGGCAAGGGGCTAGGGCCACACAAGCCCCTGGGAGCATTCTGGGGAGAGGTGAGGCATGGTTCCCAGTCCCGTCTCTCTCCCCAGGTGACTTACCCTTGCTGACTTTGCGGGGGGTGCGAATGTCAGAGCTTTCCCCGGGCGGGGTCAGTTAGTGCTACCAATGCCTAAGCAACCACTCACATCGCTGTAATTTGAATAAAGTTGGGGCCAAAATTATGCCAAAAACCTTAAACAAAAATTAAGTGTCAATTGTGTTTTTCTTTGGGGGGGTGTCTTGGGGACCTCGACGCGCAAAATACTGCACTGATGTTTAGTAGAATTAGGTGCTCCTGTAGGAACAAAATGTCACCCGACCTCAAGAAAGCAAACTAACAGCTCTCAACTAGATTAAATATCTAGGCAGGAATTTTAGGCTTGAAAGCTACCTAGGAATAAACAACATTAAATACAGTGGGACTGTGGACAGCGAGTAAATAAACAACCACACACAATGCACTATTAAATAAAGTATGTCAGAAAAACTTGTGTGCCCTTTCACTTTTAGAAAGAGGCAGGGTAAGTAGAAAAGTTGAATTAGGAGAGATTACAGTACATTATACCCTGGTTATTAGAGAGTCTCATGTTTGTTTTAGGAAAGAGAAGCAATGCTACTGAAGCAACAGATCTTCCACCAAAAAAACCCCTGTATCTGTGTTAACATTTTTATCTTTCATAAAGGCATCATTTCAAAATTTGTCCATGGTTTTTTAGAGTTACCAAATCACTGCTACACAAATTATCAAATAAAAACAAGTGTTCCTGTTTCTCCTCCTAGCTTCCATTGTAAAATTAAGAGTGAAGTCTAATAGAACAGTTTGTGTTCATGAATGACTCCAAGAGGAATCAGTTTGGATGCAAACACTAAACTAATGGATGCAAATGACTCTCCCACATATCTTGCTCCTGAGTGATCACATTATCCATAACTGCTTGTGCACCTGACTAAAGCTTGTGAGAGTGTTGTAGAGCTGTTTACCAAGATTCACATAAAGCATTTTCAAATATATGCAGCCATTATTTTTGGATTGCAAAATGTCACTGTGTAGACCTGAAAATATCTGCACCAGCATTACATTATATCAGGGGTCGGCAACCTAAGGCCCATGGGCTGGTAGCGGCCCACAAGGCTTGTCTAACCAGCCCATGGCAACCCTGCCCCTGCCGCCCCCCCCACCGCCCCTGCACCCATTCTTACCAGAGTGGCACGGTGCAGCGCAGTGCAGGGACTGGCTTCTGGGTTGATGGCGCCTGTGCGCATGCACACGGGCGCTCCTCCAACCTGGATGTGCACCGGAAATAGTGTCTGTGCACGCACACAGCTCGGACCCAGAAGAGTGTGCACACACACATGCTCCAGCCCATCCTCTGATGGACAGAGCATCGACTGGCCCATCCTCGGATAAGGTTGCCAACCTCTGCATTATATCAACAGGCTGGACTTCTTATGGTTATTACTTCTACCACACAAGTGCTGAATTGACTAGGCGGCATTGTATCACCTGCAATAACTGAATGAGGAAAATCCCAGAGCAGTCATGATGTGGATTATAAGGCCATCAAATGAAAATCAAAGCTGTCGATATAAATTGCTACTGTCCTCACAAGAAAAACTGGCTTTCCTCCATTTACTTTCCATGCTGTGATTTATGAATTGGACATGCAGAAAATTTACAATAAGTTTTTATAAAAAGAAATCCATCCTTAATTCTGTAAAAATTAAAAGCTGATACAACTCTAATGATATATTGACTAACTGAGTAAGTGCAATGTAAGACTGCCACTCGATAATTAATGTTTCAATAGTAAACATGTTATCAATGGGAACTCCTCTTATATGCTGGCTGCAAACTATGGCCTTCAATTATTCTTCCGTTTCAAATTTTCATGCCAAAAATGTGTTGTCGTCAAAGACAGGTGGAATTCAATTAAGTTTTACTCCGTGTAGACCTACTGAAATTAATAAAGCTAATTCAGTAATATTCATTAATTTCTGTGGGTTTATTCTGAGTAAAGCTTGTTGAATACCACCCAAGGGAAATTAAATTAGAGATGCCAAGTGATTTGGTCAAGGTCAAACCAAAGGTAGAGGAAAGATCTCAAACTGGTGCTCAAAAAATTGTAGACCTGGTATATAATATGGCCAATGCATTTTGACTTCTAGTATTTTCAGGGGTAACATTAATTTTGCATTGCCTTCTTCCAATGGCAACACTGATCTGATAAAACATCATTTGAAAAAAAGCATATGAAGAATGAACAGCTAGAGAACTTTCCATTGGAAAAAAGTGTGAGAGTGTAAGCTGAATATGGGTGTAATCGGCGTATTACACCCCATAATCAACTTCCAATTTTAAGAACACCAATTTAAGGTGTTCTTGCCTCTTCTTTTTATTTTCCTATTCTTTGGGCCAACTCCTATTTTCTTTTTTGCTTGTTAAAGCCACCCAATGTTATATTTTATTTACTTATAATATTTATGAATTGCTTTTCCTCCAAAGGACCTTAGGACAAAGTACAAAACACAAAAAGAAAATATATCAGCCATCAGTTAAAAAATATTAAAACCCAGTGCCCTATCTACCTATTTTCATTGTCTATTTCTACCATTCTGAAAATGCACCCAAAAAAGTAATCCAGGTTTCAATGTCTTGTTTAGTCTGATTCATCCTACTTATCTTTGATTTTTTTAAAAAAAATCAAAATCCATTAGCATTGTATATAAAATATTGTGTCTACCGACATCTCAGTAACAGTGCGATGAATCTTTCCCACAGTAAATCAAAACAACATACAGAGGCAAGGAACATTTAATTTGACTTACATAATTAGCAAGCAAAACAGTTTTTCTTGAGCCTGTACCTGGAACTTTACAAAACAGTTTCTGTGCATTTGCTTGCAGATACAATTTTTCTTGAACTGTGCATGTACTCATGCAGATGTGGAAATTGTTGTGCACCCAACCAAATCATGTGTGTGTTTGTCTATGACAACTTGCATGAAGTAGCCTGCTTGTATAATCTACATCAGTTTGTGCAACTTGTTTTTATGAGGGGAAAGAAGTTCCTCATGTGCAAAAGTTGTTGGGAAAAACAAGGGCCCTTGAGGCATTCTGCAGACTTTCCATAGATTTCTGAGAGCACAGTGATTGTAATGCAAAACAGAATAGTGTGCAGAAATAAAGGGAGAGGTTTTCTACATCTCTTAACAGCCCTTGCCCATTATCAATTCAAGCAGGAATGTACCCCTGGTAAACATATAGTGTCAGAAATTTATCAAGTTTGGCATGCCCCATTAAGTCCTCACTGTGTTTTAGACCCTCTGTAACTATCACTGGCATAAAAATCAGTGACTGTAATGGAAAATGAGACGTCTTTCAAACATTGTGTCTCTTGGCAACGCAAAACCAATTAAAGCCAATTTATAAAATTGTAAAACTTTTCCTACATGGGATAGTGAGTCAGACCTCTTGTATTCAAATCAAGGGGTCCTTTGGAATAGGCCATCCCAAATGTTTTCTCAATTCTGTTGCAATTCCTTAGGCTGCCAGTCAGTTGAGAATGTGATAAATACGGTACCGTAAATACGACCTGCAGCATCTAAAATAAACTAGTGTTGATCGATACGTCCTTGAGAGAACCACTTCTGTTCTTCTAACAGTCACAGGACTGTTGGAATTGTCCTAAAAGAAGTGAATGGAGGAGAAATTTGAAGTATTTATTGCATGAGGATTTTGTTTGTTTGATTCATATCCTGCCCTTCATTACATGTGATCTTTGGGCAAGTCGCAGCAATTAAATGCACAATGTGTAATTACACACGGAGAGAATGATGCTGTTATTGACTAATGACAAAAGGGAGCATCCCCCAGGACCAGGGGAAAGTGTACAAGATGGGCACACCATACTGTCTCTTGCACACACTGCACACAAACATCTCTCCTTTTCTCATAGACCTCAATGATATGCCTTCCTTCCCCACCCCTACCCCTTACAGACTACTAGGGCCAAGCAATATCTGGTTTTCAACATTGTGATATATCACCAGCTTAACATTCCAATATACCAATATATTACAATGCCTGAAATAACGATAGAGCTGTGTAGTGGCTTTGGCTGGCTTCATGGCTTTCCCTGTATCGTGATTTTTTGCCAGCACCTACTCTTGTGATTTGCTGCCCCTTGCATGAGGCAGGGGTAAGCTGAGCTGGCAGAGTTAACATGGGAGGCAGGAATCGAGAGAAGCGCCAGCTGGCTTCACGGTTTTTCCACATTGTGATTTTTGCGTAGCCCATGCACACAGACACATCACGATATATTGTCAGGTCGAAAATTGTGAAACTGTTATCACGATATGGACTTCAAAGCGGTTTTGGATGATATATTGATATATCACCCAACCCTACAGACCACCTGTACAGTGTGGTGTAGTGGTTAAGAGCGGTAGTCTCGTAATCTGGGGAACCAGGTTCGTGTCTCCGCTCCTCCACATGCAGCTGCTGGGTGACCTTGGGCCAGTCACACTTCTTTGAAGTCTCTCAGCCCCACTCACCTCACAGAGTGTTTGTTGTGGGGGAGGAAGGGAAAGGAGAATGTTAGCCGCTTTGAGACTCCTTAAAGGGAGTGAAAGGCGGGATATCAAATCCAAACTCCTCCTCTTCTTCTTCTTCTTCTTCTTCTTCTTCTTCTCCGTCTTTCTCTGCCCAATTGCATCTCTCCCTCTGACAGATGACACATAGACACAGCCCCCACATACATTGCTCTGTCTCTCTCTAGCTAAGCACATCTCTCTTAATCACAGAGCATACCTGAGCACTCCAATTCAGATAAGCCCCTCAGGAATACACAAAGGTCACCAACCTGACCCCTGTGAGCTTTCGTGCACCCTAGCTAGGTGAGTAGCCATATATATATATATATAACGTGGCACTGATGGAATCTTAGGCCCTACAGCTCAAATAAACTGTTCCCTCCTCTTTGTGGAATGTTGGTCAGCGCTATGATCAATTTTCTGTCCAGGACTACACATACATTATCCCAACTACTCTATACACATGCCATTGGATCAGGGCACTTAACAAAGTGGGCAAAATCATTGCACTCTATTGGCTGGCAGCTGCAGCTTTCTAAGTTTTCCTAGTACCAAATATATTAAGTAGACAGGCTTCTACTGATGCAGCCAGTTCCCCAGAGGTTGAAATGGAATTCACATTGCCTCAAGACTTCCCTCTGTAATTTTTGCTCTGTGCCCAGCTGCTGTGAGTTATAGTGATTACTGCCAGTGCAGCAATGCTGCCAGTATGCTCCTGCAGCAGTACATCATAGATTGGCTCGGGATGCCATTGCAGTGTACAGGCCATGGCATTCGACTGCAAACAGCCTTTGCTGTATTTGCAAGATCAGCAGCTCATGTTAGCCTGCAAAACAGCTGGGAGTGAATGCAGACATAGTCTGTAAAATCTGGACTAGAATAAGATTCTGATGGAGCTTCTTTGCCTCCAAACTTAACGAGGCTTTGATCTGTAGTTTTGCTCTGCACCCTAAGTGCAGATACTCCCTAAGTTTTGATGCAGATTGTATCGGCCTTGTTCTTTTTTATCGGCTGAATCTATTCTGGCCACAATAAATTATTTCCAGGCACATTTGAAAAGGACAGTGAATGCCTAGTTATGAAAATGATGCCTCTAGAGAAGATGACAGGCTGAACCTTCTGCATCAGAGCCCTTGCATTTTGTGTCCTCTCATCTATTTCGGGTCTTCATTTGCCTAATTACTACTCTGAGGCTGGCAAAGATTTCCCCTGCAGCGCTCAGCAGCTCTGCTGACTGCAGAGACCCTACCTGGCACACAATTTAGTGCGTCAGCATTCTAGATAGAAATGAATGAAAAATCAATCAGGGCAACTGCAGTGGCAGCACATGCAACTCTAACCTACTTTGTGCATGGTTTTCAACATTTCACTGTAGACTCTAAAATGGTAAGTGTGTACCTGAAATAAAGTATGCCTTTATTGGTCAGCCTCTATGCTCCTTAGGTTTGACGAAGACATTACACCCTATGCTAGTGTGTGTGTGTGTGTGTGTGTGTGTGTGTGTGTGTGTAATACATACTATATCGGAGAGATATAGAACATGATTGTTTAAAGAAAATAAATAGAATAAATTCAACAAACCAAAGTCCACTATGCATTTAAGAATCACAACCATTGCTTATTTTAGCATTTGGAGAAGATGATTGCGTTATTTCAATTCTTATTATACTTTTAATGGACAAAGTTATTCAACTGCAAGCCTATCTCAATTAAGCATCAGTTAATAGTCTCTGCAGCTAACTCTCTAATAAGAGGATTAACTTTAAAATGCTGCTTGAAAAGTCACTCACTGCTAACTTTTCAAGCACAGTGGGTTAAATTTTCATAGAGCAATGAGAAAATGATGGGCTGTAACAAGTTGTGCATTGCATCACTGTTAAGCTTTCCAAATTTCACCAGCTTCTTTGTATGTGGTACTCTTACAGTAAAGAAGATTCCTGAGCTATAAAAGATGAAGAGTCTACTTTTCCTGGTGTTGATTTCTTTCTGCTGGGCTGATCATCATGCTGCCAACTTCACACTGGAGCATGACAGAATTATTCACATCCACGGTAAGTTAAAAAAGGAATTTAAGCTGCACTTGTGATGTTATGCTGAAATTTTATGACTTGCATCTTTTTTAGAAAAGATTAGATAGCTTGCTGCTGTGCTGCATTATTGTACTCTGAGCAATTAAACCTGCTTTTAAATCTGAAATGCATTTTTTTCAGTGTGCAATCTAATGACTATTTCTGAGACAGAAACAGTATTTGTTAAAATAAGAGTGCATGCATATTGAAAGAAGCAAGCAAGCAATTAGTTTAGCCAGAATAGTATTGGCCTTACTGCAGAAAAAATATGATCTAAAACACATCATATAAGCAAAGACTTCCCTTTCACAGGTAAATGACTGGTTATTAAGACACTGTATTGAAAAATGAGGCATCAGTTGAAAACTCAAGCAGTATAAAAAGTGACTTACCTCAACAAATAGATGCTTTTTTCCCATAGCTTTCACTCATATACAGTGGTATGTTGTCCCTCTGCATAATCGTGTATATCCATTTGAATTCTAAAGCTTTCAGCTGGCTGTATGAAGCTTTGAGGCTGCAGTGCAATGCAGCTGTTTTTCAGCTCCAGTTTTAGCAGTTGAGGGTCATCCTGTATGAAGCAAGCCAAAACATTTATTTATGCAAAAATGACAGGCAGAATAAAATACATCTATAGCTTCTTTCATTTGTATACATCCAATTTTGACAACTTAAATAACGCAGCCCATGGGTGCCATTTAAAGTTTGGAGGTTCCATGCTACTTAAAAAACAACAACCAAAAAATCCCCACAGTGTTTGCACTTTTTATAAACACGCACCACACTACATTTTGACACCAAGAAGGGTTTAGCATTTGCAGTTCTCTCAGTGAAGATTTCAGGAGCCGAGAGTCTCCAGGCACCAGACACTATCTTCAAGGTCAAAAAAGAAATTGCACCGGATTGGTGTGGTAATGGAAAGTGACACTGGAAAGGAGTGCAAGATGAGTGGTTAAAAGAAGGTGTAAATCAAAATACAATAGCAATGGCCTTTTTAGTGTGTATTAACTGGTTCATTCTGAAGAATTTAGCTCTTTCCTTTGCAGGTGTTGTCTAGTTGATAATATTTCTTTTTGGACCATAACTTGATATCAGCACGTGCCTCTTGAGCAAAGGAAACTTTCTAAACACTTGATGTATAACACATTTTTAAATATGTTGTTTTTAATTTGTTAGTGTAGATGTGTTACTTATACCTCAGAGCATGTCCTCACTATGAACTTAAACCATGACCTTCTCTGAAGGAATTAGGGAAGAGGGATATAATAAAAGGCTTTGCAAGTGACAGCACTTCTGTTTTAATTCTGTCAGGAAACCTTGTTGCCTCTTTGCAACATCCCTTTCAAGCAGCAAACTACTGCTGAACCCTTGGTTAGTAATAAAGCACAAAAGAGCTGCTTCTGAAGCAAAGCTACAGCAGTTGGAATTTATCTGGTAGTATTCCCAGTGACAGTGCACAGGTACAAATACAGAACTTTCAGGGTGTCCATAAAACTTTAGGTCTCACACCATTCAGCCCCAATCCTGTGGCTCAGTCTATACCCTTCCCCCATACAAAGGGCTTCTGAAAAAGAAACAGAGTGGTAGACTTATTCTCCTTTTTATGATTAACTGTTCATGGCTCACTTGTACACATTGCTAACATTTTAAGCTGCCCACTGACTAACACAGAGGTTTAGCTAAATAAAAGAATCTATTAGGAGAACATTGTAGCCTACCAGGATTCTCAGGTACTGGTCTTTAAGATAACCAAACTTGAATAAGCACATTTCAAAGGAAGACACCAGTGTGAAGCCACTGAAATCCAATTCATCAAGAATACCAGGCACTATGGGTCTAAACAGAAACAATGGTTTCCTGTCCATCAATGTTAATTAACAACACTGTTAAGCAGATTGTGTTATTACTTATCGTTGCTGTTGTGAAGGGACACGTCTTTATTTTAATTGAATTGAATGGACTCTGTGTGACATTTTCTGCATTGCATTTCCCCCTGAACTTGCTGCTTACAATCCATGGGTGGTGTACCTGGAACTGAGGTTAACACTTTCTGTATCTGATGAAGTGGACACAAAAATTCATGCCATTCACGCCATTAAAATGTGCTAAACTTCAAGGTGCCACTTGTTTGCTAAACAAAAAAAGGGTGTAAAGGGCAGCTTAACACTAGGCAACTAACCAAAAGGAAGTAGATCTTAGTGGTAGGGAATGTCAGAGGATAATCTAGGGGAGAGTAGCCTTGAACAGTGTGCTAATATAGGGAAGGACCTGCATGATCAGATGCAAGAGAAGGCAGGGCTCCAGATGTGGGGGAATTATGAACACTGAATGTTGCAGCAGCACACAAGTGAAATCTTCTCTGTAATAATTTGCATCCCTCAGTTTTTAGCATATACCACTTGATAATTTCCCAAAAGTACTTCTATAGTGTTGTAGATTCTGAGAGGACTTTGTGACTAGGTTGTAGCCAGTGGTTTTTCACAGCATAATTACAATTATTGTGGGCTTTTGGGGGGGGTTGTTTTTTAAGAAATTCAAGTGCCAGTGAGTATTTAATACCAAGGATGGACAGAGCAATCCTATGGTCCAGGCATGTCACATGGCTACTATGCATGAGTAGGACCAGATAAAATAGTCATGACCCAGTTCTCACCTTGCAAAGTCAACAGGATGCCAACAGCTGCAGAAACCAATGCTAATATAGCAATCCCAACAGACATTCCCACCACCATCCATCTTCTTCAAACTTTCACAGCTGGAAAGTAAAGTAGTATGTGTGTGAAAGGGCTTTGCAAACATCCCTGCTACAGAGGGCTATGGCATCATGGTGGCATCAGGTGATTGACAGTTTGGCTGCCAATCCCCCAGCACAGGGGGTATAAAGATCTGGTCCTTCCATGAGAAAAGTTCCTCCATCCCTCGTCTAAGGGGAAGGGGGGGAGGACTTTGGCAAGCTTTAAGGGGAATGTAGGTTGGCAAGTTGTAAGGGTTGGAGACAACTTTGGTAAGGAGTGAGGGGACAGGATGGCTTTGGCAATGAGTAAGAAGATGGGGTTTTTGGGTAGGGGTTGGGGTTAGATGGGGTTGGCAAGCAAAGCAAAGTGAGCAGCAATGGTAGCCCCTAGTTAATGTTCATTTGTAGAAATGGGTGGGATAGATTTTTAAAACAACAACAGTCTGCCATTTTACACAGTTTGCAGTTGCTAAACTGTGGATGTGTTAAACAGTTAAAGGATACAATGTCTTTCTTTCCTCTTCCATCTATATTTGTATTTACAGATAGGATCAGTTTAATTTGAACTCGGTCTGTTCCATCTGACATCTAGATCTCCAGCTAATGAGAGACTGTGTATCAGAGGCCCCATCTGGCATTAATCCTTACAACAATAATGTGGAGAGTGGGGAGGGAAGTCTGATATGCTTAGGAATAGCAGCATAGACAGAAATAAACTAAGCAGACTGAAGAAGCCAAATGAATATAAAATGATTTTGCTGACTGGGCATCTGATACCAAAAGATTCTCAGTTCAGAAACATGGCAAAAGAAATCCCCACAAAATTAAAAGCCGTGAAGCTGGCCTCCCAAGGGAGGCACTAGCACTTTCCAGGAGAGACACAACCTGCCAGTGTGTGCCTTTACCAAGACACGTGGTGGAGTGTTACACACTCACCAGACTTGAAATACCTGTGAATGGACTGTGTGATCCATTTCAATGAGCACACTCTCTTCACTTGTCCTACACAGGATGTCCTCTACTTGAAGAACCCCAGAGCAATGTTGAGCTCATCTTTTGAGCCAGGGCACATCTAACAACTAACTGGGCTTAGGCTTCAGTGGCAAGCTAAGAATTCTGCCTGCCCTGCACTCATCTGCCCCTCTTTGGCACCCACCTCTCCTCAGCTCCCCTTCACCTAGAGTCAACATTATGAGGAGCCATTTCCAGCCTAGATTAAAATGACTCTAGAAATGCTCCTTAATGACTTTGAGAACCAGGCACACTTACCTGGGAATAAACTTCATTTAAGATGGGGAAAATACATCTGGGTCATTGGGTATGCCACTTAAGATCAATTTATTCTGTTTTATTTCATGTTTTATTTGTGATCCCAAGTAACTCACAGTCTTTCAAAAATTAAAAATTAAAATAGCTTCTGCAAGCAAATGAGAAGATTGGGTGTGGAAAGGTGAATCATGCAATTTTACTTTGTAAGACCCAATTTTCAGGACACTTTTTATATATTAAGAAAAGTTCAGCTTTTTATCAGACAGCATCAGTTGTTCCCAATCCTAGCATGGTTTGCACATCATTTTAAGCTATAGTTAAATGAAAGTACTGGTGCACACTGCTGAATTTTTAGGTGCTTCTCTGCTCCTACTATGCTTCTGGGAACTTAGCCATAGCCTGACTTAGCGTTATATCTGAACTCAGGTTTGTGATGTCTTTCTTCAAACAAACCATGAGAAGTATCCAAGGTTTATTCTTGGTTTAGTTTTCATGGTCCAAGGAAAACAAACCACAAGCCCAGGTTTGGATGTAACACTAAGCCAGACTATGGCTTAGTTGACCGTGCAGCAGGAGTGGAGGAGGAGCGAAGCAGTCACAATATCAGCAGTGTGCACCAGCCTGCTGCATGTTCACCTTTAGTTTTGTTTACCCGTGGTTTAAAGTCCCTCTAACCTGAAAGACCCAGGTTCAAATCCCCAGATAGCCACTATCAGCATAACCTACTTGTTGTGGGGATGAGAAGAGAGGAAAGGTTGAATCATGTATGCCACCTTGAAATGTTGGTGGAATTATGAGATAAAAATATAATTGATGGTGTTGACTAATTTTGGGTAGAAAGTGCATTGTACATTCATGCAAAAATGTGATGCCTGGATAATTTAGCCCAAACAGCAACCATGTTAACTAATGTACTTATTTGAGCAAATGTAATTACTTTAGCCACACAAAAATCAATTGGACCCAAAACGGTTCATGTTCAAGAACTAAAAAAACAACTTCCAGGCAGCTTTAAATATTATGATAATATTTGCCTCTCAGTAATGCAAGTTTTTGTTGCAGATGAATAAGTATTATTTCAGGATCCAACTGAGCTCAATATAACAGTCACAATATGCAGGACAGTTGAAAATAAACATTCATTAAATAGCTAACATGGTCATATATCTTTGAGCTTGGTACACAAATGAATTCAATCAAAATTACTGATTTATGCTGGTGCTGTCTTTCTGAAGCCAAAATAAATAATAAACAAAAATCCAAGTACTTTGGCTGCACTGGTCTATATATGTCAAACAATAGTGATAAAAAGCATAAGCATGTTATAAACTTATGTGTAAGTTTTATAAAAGCTTAATTTTCATGACTTCACCCAAATAATTCTAGGAATCCATGGTAAAAGGGAATTATCATTAAACTAGTTTAAGGTTTAGATCTACATGAGAGTAAAACCCTCATAAACAGTGAGACTTACCTTCAGGGTAGACATGTATGGGATTGTGCATAACTTGTGTCAGACATGCCCTCTCAAGAGTTTCTGAGAGAAACGTTCTGTTTCCCCCTACAGGATTATTCCCAAATGCAGCAGGTCTAGATGTCTCAGGGATGTGGAAGGTTCCTTTATCTTAAGAAAATGTGGACTGTAATGAAAACTACAATTACCTAGCATAGTGTTTATATAAAAAATATAGATTCATTTCATGTATAGACTATTAAAAGTTTTTGCCCCATATCATTTGTCCACCAACAATCTAGAAGTGTTTGGGAAACTTTATATCTTATCTCAAAGTGTGACAGTTTTCATATCAGCTTGTCTCTTTTATATACGTCGAACATAAATATGGGTTGAAATTTTTTTTATGCAAAGCAGCAATCCCTGGAGCTTTTAATTTGTCACGTTTCTTGTAGCACAGTCTTTTCCTCAGATGCTAAAAATTTCATTAACCCAAATTGTTTTGTAAGTATAGCAGTAAATAAATATATGTGACTTCTGCTTCTCTCCCCCCCCCCACCAAAAAACCCCATGTCATCCATGGGCATGCATGGGTACAAGGAATGAAGAACTGCAGAATTGCTCATCTTTTTGAAACCAGTCTGAACACTTTGTAGTCTAATTCCCAGACATATATCATGTTGCTTTCATTCCTTATTCCCATCAAATATACTTTTCCTGCTGTTTTATTGTTTCCTTGCTAATCTGGTGTGCAGATTTCTAGCCTCTCTCTCTGTAACTGAATATGGAACACTATTTAAGTGACTACCAGCTTTAGATGCCTCCCCACTCCAGGTCCTAAATCGGGAATGTGGAACTTGTTGTTCTCCAGATGTTTGGACTATAAAGCCCATTATCCCTTACCATTGCCCGTGCTGGCTAGGGCTGATGCGAACTGTAGTCAAACAATATGTGGAACGCCACATGTTTCCCATCCCTCTCCTGAATTAAAAAACTTTTTCCTGGAGTCAGTTTCTCAGTGGTACATGTGAGAGCCACATGTGTGTGCTTTTTCCTCCTTAACAAAAACACTTCCTTTTCAACCATTTTCAGGCTGCAGTGAGATCACCATTTCTTTTACAGCATGAGGATGTGTGATGATTCACTGGCTTGTCTTCCCCAGTATATGTAATGCTAAGAGACAGTTGTATCTACAGCCAGGGTTTTTGTTTTCTTTGCAAAATATGTAAGAGAACAGGGATCAAAAGGGCACTGGAGGAGAGTTACTCTACCAGCTGGGCTGTGTCATTTTCAGCTTTGGGTATACCACTGTTATCCCCAAGGCAGAAACATGATTCACAAACTACCAAGGTTTTTGCAAAGAACTATTGCCCAACTCTTCTGAACATGTTGACATGCCAGTCACCAAAAGTTTGAAATCTGTTATAAGGCATAAATAAATCCTATGCTAGTAATTGTCAATACATGAAGTTTGAAACAGAAGAAAGATCTGTTGATTGGGTCTGTTTTGGATGTGTTTCAAAATAGTTGCGCCCCGAGGCCCCCAAGCCCTTTCCCAAGTAAATAACTTCACACTGACATGCAATTTTGGTTTAGGTTAATGGGCAAAATTTAGGCCACAACTTTATTGATTACAGAAAAGTGAGTGGTGTTGGCTTAGGCATTGACAACAGACTGTCTCCTGCCTCTCTGGCTGGTAGTCTGAAAGGGTAAGCACCAAACTAGGGAGCAACACCAATGAATATCAACCGAAGCTCACCCCGGGGTTCCTGTGGTCCTGGCATGGCCCCAGCCCCTCAAGCAGACTTCGGATGAGATCCAGGACCCCCCAGATTCCTTTTACCCTTATTCATGGAGGGGCAGGTGATGGCCACACCTCCCCTCCCACACACTTCGTTAAGCCAATGCCTAACTGCCAAACCGTGCCTCAGCCACATCACACTGCCACTTTTATAGACCCTCACCAATCACACCACCTGCACTGATTGGCTCAAACGGCCTGGTGTGATTGTGGGGCCATACCGAAAAGGCCTGGGCTACGCCCAGCAACTTCAACCTGGTGGTGGTTGTGTCAGGGGCCCGTGCGCAACCAGGACCCTTGTTAAAGAGGATCCCATTTACTTATTTTTGTTTGTTTGTTTAAAATATTTCTAGTCTATTCTTCATTACTAAAATCAATCCAAATAATGAAAACCAAGTAGTGGGGTAGGAGAGATGGGGGGAAAGCACACATCTGGCAACCAATGTGCCCCTTGGGTTTCAGATAGTTGTGGGTAGACCACTCTAAAAAGCCCAGGACACAAATTTTCATGGCCCTTTAGCAGCTACAGTGCTCATTTATCAGAAGTAATGTATTTAGCATTAACTCTGGACGTGTATGCTCGATTCTGATCAAACTAAGCTTCCTAGAGCAGATATTCTGCCACTGAGCTATGACCCTTACCCACAAAACCACTTTTAGTCCTGTGTCAAGCAATGAAATTACATTCATATATAAAAAAATCAGGATTGCAAAATGCATGGCAGTGGAAGACTTACTATGTAATTATAATATGATAACTATGTATGGAAATGACACGTTGCTGTCCTGCTACTGCTTGTATCAGGGGAAGTGCTGTAGGCATACAATGGTCTTTCTCCTTCCGAACTCAGTGGTGGAGGACACCTTCCTTGCTTAGCCACCCAAAACTTTGTCAATGAATTGGAGCCATTAAATTTGGATGAAAAAGCAAGCTTCAAATAAATGCACTCCATATAAATGCACTTTACTTTATACCATCAAAAATTTAATTTTATGCAAGGTTAGAGTGATAGTCAGTATTTCTCATAGGACTATATTGTTTTACATTAAGCTCTAAATATAAGCAAGCAATTGAACAAAGCATAAGAGTTCTGTGCCTTTGCATGCTATGTACAAAAAGTTGATTTAAAAGTCCATGTCCTTGAGCCTAATACAGCACCCTAGATGGTGATCTACTGCTAATGCAGACCACTTGGAAAAGACAAATTGTTTTGGATAGGCCATTTTATCTACACTTGTAATTGCCCCTTAATTAAAGGTTAAGGACTGTCATTTGTATAGAGAGGGGGAGGAATTCTCAGTAGGAAACCCTGAATGGGACTTCTTTGACTACAAATGAGAAGTTCTCTGAGATGCTCTCTTTATTACTATGTGTTATCATGCTGAAGCATTTGTGTCATGTATTCACTAGTCACATTGCTGTGCCTCAGTTTACTCAGAAGTAAAGGGAGATCAATGCCTAAATAGTATAAGCACAGTATAGTGGTTTGTTTGTTTTTAAAGGACTTTTGTATTTGGCTTGCTGTGTAATGTGTGACTTGCCTCACTGCTTTAGTCATTTGGAACCATCTGCCTGCACACACATTTAGTTTCCACTTTATCTTCATGACATATCTGAGTCTGGAATCTGCTATCCCCAGTATTGTGCAGCTGGCATGTATGTTCCTAGACCATGAGTGGCTCTCTGTAGCTCTCCAGATATTAATGAATGACAACTGCCATCATCCCTGATCAATGACCTTGCTGACTGAGGCTCATGGGAACTGAAGTCTAACAATGCTTGGAAAGATCATAGGCTGCCCACCCTACACCCCACCCCCACAACCATGCACAGGAATGCCGCCTTTTAAATTTGTGAAATGTAGGATGGAATGCCAAACTAATCATTGTTTCTTTTCTTCCAAATATGTGATCAGAAAATGGACCTCGCCTCCTTGTGGAAGCAGATCAAACAAAAATCTTCTCACAACGGGGTGGCAATGTCACACTGCCATGTAAATTTTATCGTGACCATGGATCATCTGACTCGGGATCCCATAAAATTCGGGTCAAGTGGACCAAACTCACCTCAGATTACCTCAAGGAAGTGGATGTCTATGTTGAAATGGGATATCACAAAAAGAGCTATGGGAATTACCAAGGAAGAGTTTTCCTGAAGAAAAGCACTGAAAACGATGCCTCCCTTGTAATCACAAATATAATGCTGGAGGATTATGGGAAATACAAATGTGAAGTGATTGAAGGTTTAGAAGATGACACAACTGTCGTATCTCTGGACTTAGAAGGCAAGTAGTCCTGGAATTGCTGGTTGTTGTTGTTGTCATATTTCTTATCTACCTTTCACCATTAAGGTCCCGGGGCAGGTTAAAAATACAACATAATATAAAATACAATATCAAAATCAGATATATGTGTGTCTTCAGCTTATGGTGAAAGCTATACAATGAAGATGACAGACACACCTTTTGGAGACAATGTTTCACAGCTTACATACATAGAGCTCTTTAGAAAATTTACAACTTTAACTGCTGCTAAATCCCCCTACTTCCACACCAGTGTGCCAATGTATATCAAAAGCCCTGAACTACCTACTTCAGAAATAATATCTGCAAGGGCAGATATCATGAACTACATCACATGCAGTTTGGTTCTTAGTCAAGCAAGGTTATGTCACTTTCATTAACTGGCTTAGATCTAATGCAGCAAGAGATTTTGTAGGGATGCATTTGATGTATGCCATTATGTACAAATATTCATGCTGCAACAATCCAGGTAATTTTGCAAGTGCCACAACATTCTCTGTCTTGCAGTTTGCAGGCTAACATGTCTGCCATTCTGATTTTATTTTTTTTTTCCTCTTAGAAAATATTAACTTTGAATCTGCTTCCCAATAAATAAACAAATAAACAAACAAACAAACAAACAAACAAATATCCACTAAAAGTTGACATGAAATTAAGGTGACTTGTTTTATTTAGCCATGAAATTATCTGTTGTCTTTAAAGAAACAGAAAACACACACACACACAAACCCACAAGGAATTTAAGCAGCTACAAGTTCTCTGTACATGTTAATGTTGTGGCACATTTCATTTTCTGTTCTGTCAACACAAGTTAGTTATAAATCATTTTAGTAATAGTTTTGGATTTGTCTGTGATGAAATCAAGTTCATTTTTAAGGGAGTGTCTTTTGATTTGTGTGGTGAACTCCGCAATTACAGGAAAGTAAGTTATTTCTCTCACTTTGTATCTATCTGGTCCACCAGCTGCAACAAGGTGTGTTCAAGCCATAAACACGTTTAAGTTGCCACATAACTGACACTGAAGAATACACGATTGTGCACAAATGGCTTCTCTATATAATGCTTTTAAAAAATTACTTTTTCAGTCCTGTTCTGGTATCCATTCATATTTATCTCTGTGTTTTACTTTGTGTCCCTTCCAAAAGAGACTAAGGCTGCAAAAGCCCCAAAAAGGAATGAGATGGAAGCTGGTGGGCTTCTAAGAATTTTAAGCTCTCTTAGTCCCCTGCCATGCCCCCAAACCACAGCATTATTTAGACATGCTTTTGAGCATGCTTAGACCTTACCCTCCCCATTACCTACAATTTCTAAAAGATTTAAAAATCCAAAGCCCATAAATTCCTTCTGCCCTGCTGGTAGAGCCAGGTAGGATATTAAATGAGACAATCAAACCACATTTCTCCTAAGGCTTGTAGCTGAAGTCACCATATTTGAGATAAAAATGACCATAGGTTTATAAAAAAGCACATATATATATATATATATATATATATATATATATATATATATCTGGTTTGATCTAGAAAAAAGGGCCTCATTCAATTATATGGCAATCATACTTTCCTCTCTTCTCTTTACATTCTACAGGAATGTTTAACTTCTTGCCATGGTTATGGAAATTTACACTTGAAAATGCAAAAGAGTCCCTTTAGAACAATTCAGCAAAGCATTATCTTTCTTTTAGAACAATTGAGTTTCTTTCCTACATGACACTTGCACACAGTCTTCAGTTGCCTGATGGAACAAGTGTAACCGCTGATGAAACTGTGAATCAATAAGACAGTTGTCCCTAGATAATGGTCTTATTGGATGATGCTTGGCAGATTGACAAAAACATTTATTTCCAGGAATGTCTCTAAGCTGGACAAAACAGTTTTTCATTTGTATGTAACTTCACTCAGAAACCATATTTGTCATAACAATGACATCTACTCTCTGTTTCAAGGGGCTTCCTTCTCCTGGTGCTAATTTTTTTGTTTGTAAGCTGCTTTATAGATCCTGGCTTTGCGAATTCCCCGAATTCCCTGAATTTGTGGATTCCCTGGGATAGCCCTGCAAGTAAAGCCATTGTGGTGCCCTCCAAATGGTGTTGGACCACTGTTTCCACCATTCTTGACGAGGCCATGCTAGATGGGGCTGATGCGAGCTGTAGTCCAACAACATATAGTTATCATATCAATGAGGGGGGCGGGATCTTGTAGATACAGCACTAATAAAACTTCAAAGTTTGTTCTGGGATGGGAGAACCTTGGAGAAGGAGGGATCATATCTTAGAGTTGGGGCACATGCTTATCATTCCGAAGGTCTCTGGTTCAGTCCTTGGCATCTCCAGCTAAGAGAATGATGTAGCACTAAAGTGACAGAAATCTGCTAGAGACTGTGCAGAGCTGCTACCAGTCAGGGTAGATGACACTGGACAAATAGTTTTAAGGGGTTTAGGTCACCAGAAGAGCACATGCATTTCATACAGAAGGTCATGGAACCAAGCCCTAACATCCTCAGGAAGGGCTGGGAAAGATGAGCTCCTGCCAGTTGGTGGAGAATGCCCTGGATTGACCAATGATCTGACTCTAAGGCAGTTTCCTCTTTTCCTGACCTTGCTTCCTGAATGCAGCTGTGGGAGAGCAATGAATTATGGTGTGAGATTTTTTAAAAATCACAGTATTACAGTAACATCAATTGGAAAAATGCTTGTTAGGCAAATATGCATGCCAGGTTAAGATGGTTACACTATGGTGGACTGCAGCAAGCTCTACTGTATCCCATGTTGACTCTGGCTATGAGAAGTCTGACATTTTTGTTTAGACTAGCACCAAAGGAAGCCAATTTCTTTACTCTGGCTGAGGCTAGCCACTTTTTTTCCATGTGGACTTATGGTACAGGAAATTTAAGTCTCTCTGTAAATACAGACCCGTTATTCTTAAAACTGATAATTGACTGCAGTGTTAACTCAGCAACTCCAGCACCCTTTGCAACTGTCACAGTTAAAATCCTAAATCTAAAATTTGTCCTTAGAAAATGGTATCTATCAAAGCATATTGATTTCCACAACACAGGCTTCTCAGAATGCAGGAATCAATGTTAAGTGGATATCAAACGTCTCTATGTGACTGTTCTTTGCTCCAGAATATCTTCTGCCAGTATTTTGGAAGAAGTAAATGGATGTCACTGTATGCAGCTGGTAACCTGAGCCTCCAAATGAGAGAAAGATGGAATTACATGACTATGGGAAAAATAGCCTTTTCTGTTGGCTGGGTCTTCCAAGCTGAAGAGAAGTGTTCCTCAGCATTCAGATTTTGGCAGAGCTTTGGATAGGGCGCATGAATATTTATTAGCTAAGTCTTTGGCTTAGTAGACCAATATTCATTCTATAGTGAAAAGCAGATGTTAGATATTGCTCTCCAGTGGTACCTAATAGCACTTCATTGTCAGAGAGACTCAGCTTATTTTTTTAAAAAACACACATTTAAGAATGCTAGATCATTAACATCAACACTGTGCTGAATAACTGCAATAAGTGGTTTTTTGTACAATACACTGGATGACCAGAAACATCAAGTGACAACAGCAGTTGGGGAAATGTTTGCATTTTATAGATGAATAAGTTATACCCAATATATCTTATTTATCCATTTCTTCCCTTTGAAATACTGCTCTAAATAATCACCTTTTGAGCCTTAGTACCTTAGAGGCGTACTTGAAGAAGACTCAACAATTTCAGTTGGTCCAAAATACAGTGGCCAGATTACCAGCTGGTGCTGCTATTAGAACCCATATCACCCCTATTCTAAAAGAACTCCATTAGGTGCCAGGCCAAATTTCCAGGCCCAATTCAAGATGCTTACAGTAATGTTTAAACTCTCAAATTATTTAGGCCCCCCCAAAATCTGAAAGATCACCTCCTTCCCTACAAACCATCCTGGTTGTTAAGTTCAGTAGAGAGTCCCTTTTTAGTTCCACCTCCATGGACAGCTATGAGTCTAAAATTACTCCCAGGCTGTGCTCCTGGTCCTTCAGGGGCACAGGTACCCCATTCAGGACCAGGGAGTCCCACACACCTGCCTGCCCCCTGTCCGCCCAAAACAGTACTTCTGTCTTGTCAGGATTCAACCTCAATCTGTTAGTCGCCATCCATCCTCCATCCTCTATCCTCCAACCACCTCCAGGCACTCACACAGGACACATTCACCGCCTTCATTGGTTCTAATTTAAAAGAGAGGTAGAGCTGGGTATCATCCGCATTCTGATGAACACCCAAGCCAACTCCCCTGGTGATCTCTTGCAGTGGCTTCATATAGATGTTAAAAAGCATGGGGCAGAGGACGGAACCCTGAGGCACCCCACAAGTGAGAGCCCAGGCACTGGATTTATCTTTGTCATCCCATGTTTCAGTAGTTCTCCAAGGATGGTTTGAAAGCTTCAGCTGGCACAGAATGCTATGACTCTTTTTTTAACAGGACTGAGTGACACCTAACATTTCCCTTCTATTTTTGGTTCAGCTGCCCTGGCTTCCTTTCTGGGTTGTTGCAAGTTTTAATATGTGTTGCTAGGTCTTAAAATGTCTTATTATTGATACATGTTTTTACAGTTTAATTTTTAATTGTACATAATTTCAGATGCCATATTAAGGGCATAGAATAGGAATATTGTAAATAAACAAATACACTTTGTAAATACAGAAATAGGCTTTGTTTTAATTTGAGCATCTTCAGAAAAATAGGCAGAATTTTTAAATGTAGACATTGATTCCAGTACATAGGCTCTGCTTTCAGTTTGAATTAATTTTTCCTTTAAAGAAGGAAGTGGAGGAAGGTATCTTTCACAGAAATGCTGCAGACCTGTTTACTTGGGAAAGATGCCAGTTTGGCTTTTAGCCCTGAATATGAACTAACTATGCTTTACAAAAATATAACTAGAAAATTTTAAACAGTTACTGTGTAAATATGAATGCCTTGTTCCCACTGTACCATTTAGAATATGGGCACAGAGTTAGTTAGCAATGTATTTTTCCTTTCTAACTCTTTGCACTTTAGTTTATTCTAAATTATTCTCAAGGGGAGGGACTTCATATGTATTTGTTTTAGATTGTTCTCTGCATTCCCACAATGCACTGCTGTGCATTTGACATAAGAACCTGCCCTAATACTGAGACTATAAGAACATTCAAAAAATTCTGGATCAGGTGAAAAGGTCCATTTAGTTCAGGACCTTGGCAGAAATTCAACATTGCACTGAGGCGATCGTTTCTCCAGGACAAGCATTTTGGCTTGCCAGATGGAACGATCCTGTCTATTTTCAACCCCTGACCCCCGAGCCAATTTAAGGGGGGGGGGAGTATGGTTTGCAGGGTGTGCATATGCAGGCGTAGAAGAGTAAGGGAAAGCCCCACTGAGCAAGCAGAAGCCCTTCTGCAGTGCTTCAACAGATGGGACTTGCTAGCTGAATCCTGCCCCTTGTATTGAAGAGTGCTTAACTCCCCTGTTCAGCTAGGAAACTCCAAAAAGGGCTTCCCCACCAGCATCTGGCGTTGACTTCCCTCAATAAATCTTCATAAAAACAGTTTGAGGTCACAGTGGAGGGAAAAACCCAAGTAATCATTCTCCATCTAACCTACCTTTGATGCTAACCCAGCAGCAGAATGGTCACAGAGCCATAAGCCGGGAGCACACATGCACATGCCTTGGGGCTAAGCCATTGTTTACTTTAGTGTGTGATGTGTGAACCAAGACATCCAGTTGCTGTTCAGAGATACAGGTTTCATGTAGCTACAGTATCAGAGCTAACAACCACTGATATATTTGCTCCATAGAGATGGTCTGAAAGGTGCAACATGAAACAATGCTTTATGTGATAACTGTTCATTATGACCCATACCAAAGAACATGTTTGCCCAGTTCTCCATATGTTGTTGTTGTTGTCGTCGTCGTCTAAATGAAGCAGTCCCTCTGCCAACTTGATTTCCTTTGCTCTTCTGGATATTCCCTAGGTTTCTCCATTTTGGTATGCTTGCTCTGTGGAGAATAGAACTGATCAATGAGGGTAATGTTTCTAATTGGTGATGGCCCACACTTGAGAATAGCATGCGGGATTGGTGGCATTCCAACAGGAAAGGGTGTGATTCTGTCTGATCTGAGAGAGAAGCCTTCTGTCTGCAGAGACAGGCAGAACTCTCAGACTAAACAGCTCATTCGCTGACAGCCAATATCTCCAGATATAAAACTTAACAGGTTGCTCTTTTGGCATCATATACATGTAACTCTCTCACCACCATAACCCCACACTTCCAGCAAATGTTTCTTGCACCTCTTCTGATGATATTCATGTGTGAACACACACGTTTAAAATTATAGTTAAACCATTCATTTCACCCACTTCTATTTTATTTTCTCTCTCAGGCATTGTTTTCCCTTACTTCCCACGACTGGGTCGTTACAACTTAAACTTCCACGAGGCTCAGCAAGCCTGCCTGGACCAAGATGCAGTTATTGCTTCGTTTGACCAATTGTACGATGCGTGGAGAGCAGGCCTGGACTGGTGCAATGCTGGCTGGCTCAGCGACGGGTCAGTGCAATATCCCATTACGCATCCCAGGGAGCCTTGCGGTGGGAAGAATACAGTGCCTGGAATCCGGAATTATGGCTTCTCAAATAAAGATCAAAGTAGATACGATGTCTTCTGTTTTACATCCCATTTTAATGGTAAGGAATTTTGACTCCCTTTTCAAAGGGGCCCATTGGTGCTTTAGGGGGAAAGAATGACAAGCCGGAACAATTTATTACTCATTTTGGGAAAGGATCATAGCTCACTGGTAGAACACATGTTTCGCATGCAGAAGGTCACAGGTTCACTCTCTGGCATCTCTGGTTAAAATGATCAGGTAATGTTTGGTGGGAAAGGCCTCTGCTGGAGACCCTGAGGGTCAAGTTCTGTGTTATGGTTAATACACACTGCACAGTTATGCCTGTAATTTTTCTTAACTTAATTACAGCTGTAGAGGGCTCCAGTTGTTATTTGCATGGCAACATGCAGGGAAGGGAGGGTTGCCACTATTGAGAACTTTTTTTGCTAAGCCTCCTAGCCTATGGGAGGGTGTTTCTCAGGGTGGGGGATGCAGCTGGAGAGAGAAGGAGCAAGCCTCCACTCCCTGCATGCTTCAATCCTGATAGCAATCAAATAATCTGTACTGTAATTAATTTAAGAAGAACAAGAGGCACAGTTACACACTATGCATTAATTGTAGTGTGTAGTTTTTCATGAGAAACAGTGCCAGTGAGGTTCAACAATACTGGGCTTGGTGGATAAATAGTATGATCTGATACCATTTTATTTTATTTTATTGAAATATTTCCATCCTAATGAGAACCTTCAGCTCAAATTTCAGGGGTGTGGTGTGAATTAAAGGGTAGCTGTGTTTTTTGTCCAGTGCTAGAGCACAATCATAAATGAACTTGCAAAGTCAACTGAATTGCTCTATATAGCCTGGAAATCACTGGTCTGTTTAGGAGGGGAGGGGAGGACCATCACACAACAGACTTCCCTCTTCAGCAACAACTTGGACTGTCTTGTGTTCCTCAAACATGGGCCTCTCCCATATGTCTTAACTTGTATGCATGTTGGGGAGCAGATGTTTGGCCTGTAGCCTGCGAGCTCAGAGATGCTCACATTCTCCGCTTACGCACGCTCTGGGTATTGACAATTAAATTTATTTGCCCTAAAACATGCAAAGAGCAAATACTTCTCTTGCTTTGAGCAATCCTGAGTTTGCTTTTCCAAAACAAATAGTCTTCAAAACCAGAGTTAAAACATTGTGCAAATGTTTACCTGATCCGGATCCAGCTAAATTATTCCAGAAGGGGATGGTTAAGTTAATGCAAATAAATCCTGTGCCATGTAAGCAGTTTTATGCAGTTTGTAGAAAAGGGGATAAATAATAAACAAACAACCAGGCATGAAAAAGGGCTAGTCAGCCTTTGAATAATTGCAATGAAAATTCATTTTACTCTGTAAGGTCTGGTTCCTTCATGCCCCTTCTTCATGTGCAGATGTGTGAGCATGCTTGCATTATGTAATAGAACAAACTGCTTCCTTAGCATCTCAATTAAAAAAAAAACAACTTATGCACAGACATGGAAACAGGAAGACTATTAGAAAGAATATCATTAATTCTATAAACTTCTGCTGCCTTCCATCCGTAAGGCTAAAGGATGGGTGGTCCGGTATAGGAATTAAAGGGGTTGTAGACAGAACTAAATGTGAACACAATCTCCTCCATACCCTAAAAGTCAATTGAAGAAAGGGATTGTGTAGTTTCCTAATCCGCACCCAAGAAGGATTTTTAAAAGGCGAAGCATTAATTGAAGGAGAGCTGGGCACGGAACCTTAAAGTCTGGGCTTGTGCCTGGAAATTGCAGCATGAGCCCCATGTCTGTTGCAGCAATATTAACAGAGTCCTGTGTCACTTAAAGACTAACAAATGTATTTATTATGGCACGGTTTTATCAAATGCATGAAGTGAATTGAGATTTCACTCCAGTTAATGATAAAGTTAGCTTTAGTCCAAGGAAGCTCATGGTATAATAAATAAATGTGTTCATATTTATGGTAATGCAGTTTTTGCTGTGTAATATAGACATTTTGTAACCTTCATGGTTCATGCCATATTTCATTTTTTAAAAAACTTCAGTACTTGGTGCATCACTTAATATCAACACAAGCTTCTGGTTTGTGGCTATAGGTAAATACAACCCCACTGTTTATCGAAAGGCAATGTAATGTCCAGCACTATTAATGAGAGGCATTGTGCAACCGCTCTTACACAAACAACAGTAGTCACTTCAAGATTATATAGTGAGATCTGTTGAAAGCTGGCAAATGAATAAGTAATTTTTCTATAAAAAGAGAACTGTAATTTTAACTTCATTGCTCAACAGTGATTGCTTTAAAGAACTGTAAAGAAAACGTATTATAACTTTATCTTGTTCTTGATATTTTCTCTGCTTTCATTAGGCCGTTTTTACTACCTAATACACCCAACCAAGCTGACCTACGACGAAGCAGTGCATGCCTGCCTCAAAGATGGTGCACAGATTGCTAAAGTAGGCCAAATGTTTGCAGCCTGGAAACTCCTGGGATATGACCGCTGTGATGCCGGCTGGCTGGCTGATGGCAGCGTCCGCTACCCCATTTCTAGGCCAAGGAAACGCTGCAGTCCTACTGAAGCAGCAGTCCGCTTTGTGGGCTTTCCCGATAAAAAGCACAAGCTCTATGGTGTCTACTGCTTTAGGTCATACCAGTGAATGTCCCTAGAGCACAACAACATCCGATCCATCATGTGAAGGATTTTGTTTCAACGAACTCATGCAAGTTACCAAAACTGTGATAAATCTTTTTTACTTACTGTAAAGAGTCATTTTCATAAAAAAAAACACCAACCTATTAATTTGTTTTGGTTATTTTTTAAAAAAAACTATCATTCAATAGATATTTTAAATTAATATAATTTAAAGGAAGCTCTAGGTAAGGAAGTGCTTGAAGTGTAACTGTTTAAGCTACGTCATTACAACAAAGCATATTTTTTCATGAATGGGGCATGCAATAGCTTGATGATTGCTAGGACTTAAGTTAAGGAATGTAAGGCTACTCAAAGCAGACACCTTTCCGAGTTTACATATTTGCATCATGTTAAAATAGAATAATGAGATCTGCAGGTCTGAACTACATTAATCTTTCCTTGACTGCCATGTGGTTTTGCGAGCAGTTAAATACAAAGATGTGAACACGAGTTAAAGTGACAGTGCTTTTTGAAGTCTGCAATATGAGAACTGCTTCACTATTTAAAACCCTGCCTTTTATCAAAACCTGCTCAATAATCTCATAACATTCCAACAAGCACAGCTAAATCTTCTGAACGTCATTCCCAGTCTTATTGTGTATGTAGTAGATAATGTGTGTATGAATAATTAAAGGATGGGCCCTACCTTCTTCTTAATACAAACTAAATATGCCTGAGATTTATTGCATTACCTTTGAGTAGCTTTACGGAGAGGATTTCTTTTTCTTTTCTTTTTTTAACTCTAAAGGCCATTTTCCTAAGCAGCATTTACTCAGGGCAGTTATATATAAATGAACTGCTGGACAGAAAGAAACACAAATGTCTGAAATTTAGCAGCTTGATTCATGTTAGCTTTTAAAATAGTATTGTCTTTATAAATGAAGCATTTAAATATTTAATATTTCTTTCTTAGTTATACATGTGAAAGACAAACATTTGAATGAATCTTGAAACATATTTATCCACTCTATGATTACAAAAGAAAAAAAACCTCTGATCCCAATTATGAAAGTGGAAGATATTTCTGTAATCAGTTCCCCATGTACATTCCAATTTGCGAATGTAGTTTTTCTTTGCATTTCCCCACTCATGGTAATGTCATGCATATGGTGCTGTCTCTCCACTGAAGTAAAGGAGCAAAGAATCCCCATGCCCACAAATGATCAGGAAGAATGTTATCTACTTCACCCAGATACTTATTTCTGACTCTCCAGCTGATCAGTATTCCGATTATGGGGTATTAACCCCTGCTACAGAACCCAGGAAAAGTTACCTATTACATGATATTCCTGAGGGAAAGCATTAAAAGAGCAACAAATGCAACAGGGTGGGCAGACCTGCCTAGAAGACAAAAATTAGTTCAGTTGAAACTAATGGGAAAAGTTAGTCATGATTAACTGAAGTCCCATGGCCTTCAATGGAACTTAAAGTACAATTCTAAACGTGTCTACTGAAAAGTAAATCCCATTCCAGTTATTCCCAGATAAGCAGGTTTAGGATTTCAGCCCAACTAGCTGGACAGTTGACAGTGAATCAATTTTTCAATAGTTACAGAGGCTTCATGCTTGTATATCAAGCATGGTTTCTTATTTGCCATGCAAGGTAGCCTTATAATATATGCCTGTGCTTTGATATACATATCACAGCATTCAAATACTTGTGAGCAATGTAGTCAACTGATTGTAATCTTTACTGGTTTATTTGAAGGGACCAGATGTACTGAGTGTGTCCCACATGGGCCATTTTTTCAATAGGAGGCATAGAATGTCAAGTGCTAGTTGGTGCCAATGTAATCAGCTCAGGGCAATCTTACGTGGTTTATAACTAAAATAGGAGGAGGAGGAAGAAAATCAAAGGAAAGGGCATGTGCATGCATTGATTAAAACATAGTGCAATTGTCTCAAGATTCCTTGTTGTGCAGTTTTAATCAACTTGCAGATGTTCTGGTGCTCACTTTAAGACTGCAGAGGATCTGTACCCATGCAGAGTCTTGAACATAGTCTGGAAATAAAACAGAATGGTGGGTCACTAATGCATTGGTGACACTCTGTAAGCAAGATCAGATATAATTTGGAACCCCCAAATCTGGGAGAAATGTTGTAAGCATCCAAAGAATTTACTGAGTGGAAGAGCAGCTGCAATTCATTCATCAATTTGTGTTTAGAAAGTTTGACTTTTGAAGGTTTCTGTAATCTGGCCCAAGATGTTAGGAAGAAGGGGGAGAGGGCAACAATGGGATATATGGAGGAAGAGAAATGAAAAAAAGAGATAATCACTAAAGAAGAAAGGAGAAGAAAGAAACGGAAAATTTGTTTCGCATCCTGCCTAATATGTTTTCCTTTTCAGGAACATGCAGCAAAAATATGAGAAGCTAAGAACTAATGGGATAAGAGTTTATAGTCTAAAGCAGCCACTACAACCCCCATTAGTCCCAGCTTGCACAGCTGGGATTTGTAGTCTAAAATATATAGAGGGCACCAGGTTGGGAAAGTCTGATCTAAAGAAAATGGGAGTGAGAAAGTTTTCCATTGGATAAAGGAAAATATATATTTCAGCAGTTGCTACACTGCACTCTGCCTTTTTTAGCACCCTGAGACTGTAATCCTATATCTACTTAACTGGAAGTAAGACCCATTTAACTAACTGGGATTCACTTTTTGAGTTGATATTATAGGATTGAGCTGTGAGGCACTATTATTTGTAAAGAATGCAAGGTTAACCTTTGCAAAGGTTACATAGAATACATAGAATAATAATCCAAGCTATCAGAACCAAACAATGGTTGTTTTTTAAAAAATGACATTCATCAGTTTACTGTTAAGACAAAGGGCATATACTACTCTTTCCTTGGAACCATGCTTGATCACATTTAAATGCAATTATATTCTGTAGTGTAGCACAACTGATATGCTTTCACAAATATTTCTGTGCAGTTTTTTAAAAATAAATAAATCAGTTTCCTCATGAGCTGAAAGATCTATTAACTAGGTTATGCGGTATGAGTGTATTAGAGTTGTGATATATTATGGTTCCAAACAAACTCATAATACCAAATGCATCTTTGCATGAATTTGAAAATATCTTTTTTTAAAAAAAAAGAATTGAAAATGTTAACATGTGTAAAAGAATAAGGTGAATGAAATTGCTTAATTTTCTTGAGAGTCAGTATATCTAGAATGGACTTACGGTGTAATTGTATTGGAGATTAATTTAAAATCCCCTCTACAAATTTTACCCTCGATTTTGTGGTGCTGATTTATCTGGTTATGGTCATGGGATTGCACTGAAGAATAATTTTATCCCCATCCTTTTGTTATGGATTTTTGGACTTGGTTCAATTTGCTCTCAACACTGCTTTCCATTCTGCCACTTGTTCATATTAGGGTTTGGGGTTTTTCGTTTTCTTCTGAAGGTAAGCCATGTGTACTAGTGATTGTGTACGTCAAAACTACACATTGCTTTTGCTTTGTATCTGATGAAAAAATACAGCTATTTTAAGCTCCTTGATGCCCTTAATTATCAGTTGAGAAACACATATAGGGAGAAAGAGATCACTCGGACAGCAGTGCAACCCTTTTATTTCATAATGAGATTGAGTACGCTAAAACATTAACTAGAAACTCTTTTTAACTTAAGTTAATGGGTGGGCATTTCTGTGTGCTTTAAAATACTTTAACAAAACAAAAACCCCAAGTCTATCAAATTCTTTAACTAGAAGGAACATCAACACATTTTTTAAACAATCATTTGCACACACAGTACCTTAGCTCCCATGTACTTAGAGGAATTTCTTTTTTAAAGGCTTAGAGAAAGCAAATTACATTGAATGATATTCTGTGTGTCTCTCCCAAGAGCTGACCACACACATTGATGTGTGCATTCAGGAACAAATTACACCTGCTGGCTTGTACCACCTTAGAATGCTTGTGGGGATTACATGTATGAATACTCTGAATTGTCAGTAACGCCCTGTCCATGGAAAGCTAGAATGTCAAAGATTATCATGTAGACTGATATAATATTATGGTTCTAACATGACAGCTTTTGAGTCTGCATATTTCTTACTTACATTCAAACACTGATCCACTACCTGAATTCTAAAATGATACAATCCCACATTAAAAAACAAAACAACCTAGACTCTTGGGGAATCTGGATTTCTGAGTTCAGCTCTTTTTAAAAAAGCTTCACTCATTTTAATTTTTAGCATAGGATAACCTGATCTGAACAATTTCTTCCAATATTGAGATAAAACACTTTGAAAAACATGGGCCCTCTTGGTGGAATTCAACATCGCATTATTTCAAGTATTCTATCTGCACAAGCATCGTAGCCTGACAGATGGAATGATCCCCCATTCTCCCATGTGCAACTGGGGATTTCAGTTGGATTCCCCAACTCCACTGATCTAATTTCAGTGTAGAGGCACATAGGAGGAGGAGTGAGAGGGATGTCATGTTATGTAAGTGAAAGCTTTTGCACAGGGATTCCACTGATAGGGTCTGTTTGATGAATCCCACCATCTGAAATTTGAGTCTAGCCAAAATCAGCTGTATGTAGGATCTGATAACCGAACAGCACCTTAGCAGCACCCAAATCCTAAAGGCGACCAAATCCTAAGCCAATATATCAGGACACACTGAAGGTAACTCTAGTGTATGCCCGTAACAAGAAGGCTTTCCCTCAAGCTATTAGCACATCCCTGAACATGGCATGTGTAGAACCATGATTTTGAGGGTGGCATCCAAGCAAACCAGTGCAGCACCAGAGAAATATTAAAATGTGGCAAAGAGACAAGGCAAGAGTAAGCCTTTCCAAAACAATTAAGGTCAATTTCATTTGAGCTCTACATTTAGATACAGTTGCAGCAGCTTTCCAGCATTGCACCCAATTCAAATCGGTTTCTGTGCCTACATTATTAAAGACCTGATGCATTCATTTTCTCTCATATATTCTAACTGAAGTAAGAGTAGTTTTGGATCCCAAGTGATGTCATAGTGCTGGTATATAAGGCTGCAGAAAATAACTTCTTACATTGTAAGGAGTTAGGTGGGAAAATAATAAAATGTAAGCTCGCAAAGAAAATCAATACAATGTAAGCAGAAATGATTTTTTTTATATAGTTGCTAATATGAATATTAATACATGAGCTTTACAGCATTACTGGGACTTGCAGAGCATTCTTCTATGAGGAAATGGTGCTTCAACAGTGTCTGAAGGGAATGCTTAAGAACTGGTTTTATGTCGGTGCTACTGTTCTTGGAAAGAAAGAAACCACCCTCGATCATAATAAGAAATGAATTAATGCACTGTGTCATTTTATTGTATTTTCACAATGTATCTGAATTTTAATGTCCCCTCGTATGGCAACAATTAAATCATGTTGATCTTTTCAAAATGAGAACTTCTTTCTTTATAAGCAAAGCGTCTCTTTTATTCGTAAATAAATCTCTATCTGTGTCACTTGTCCCTCACAAGGACTTATGAGTGAGGGAAGGAATAAAAGTTAATATATTTTCAACTCTTTCTCTTCTTTGGTATCCAGAAAATTATTACAATAATCAAAATTCGGGTTGAGGTGGAGCTAATACCATGATTTGAACCCTAGATATAACACAAATGTTTATCACCTGAACCCAGGCATAAACATTGGAATATTCTTAGTAGAACGGGATCCATTCGAACATCATAATCATCATCTTTATTACAGTCACAGACCAACATGTTAAAATAGAAACACATAGTAATTTAGGAAATAAAACAGATAAAACGGGTAAAAGGAGTGACTCAAAGAAGGGAGGGGTGCGTGAGGGAGACTTAAAATCAGCTAGAGGGTTAAGAGCAAAGAGTTGCAAAAGTAACTATAGAAGGGAGGATGCAAGAGAGGGAACGGGTCTTGCCTATGAGCCTTCAGTTTAGGTCTGGTGCAAATGACCATCATAGCAGCGCAAAATCTGGCTGAGTATGTTACGTCTGGGTTTGCATCTTGAAGTAGCAAGGAGGTATAGAGTTGTTCTGTCTGTCCAGGGAATTTGTGTAATATTGGCAGGATGAACCTGACTCATGTATCTGTATAATATTGACAGTGGAAGAAAACATGGTAGTTTCTAGTTGCCCTGAGCCACAGGGACATTTTCTCTCCTCGTACAGTATATTTCTAAAACAGCCTTCCTAGATAGCTGGGGGAAAGTCCTGGCATCGGGCCAAAGTGAAGGCCCTTCGCTGTTTTGGTATTTCTAGGTTGGTTATTTATGGCATTTGGGAACTGAGGTATCTTCTGGTTTCACCGATGAAAAAATTTGGGGATCTGGTTAGGTCTGCTTGCATTCTATGTCTTCCATATGCTGTTTGATGGGGGGGTTGGCTTTTTCATATCCCATGTCAAGTAAAATTTGTGAGATAAAACCTAGGGTTGTTATTTTGTTTAACACTTCTCGTTTTCAAGTTGTTTGGCAGTCGTCCTTTATAGTTAGGAGAACAAGGTCACATGGGAAGAAGGATAGTTTAACCAGTAATTAAGTGTGGCAAGTCACGCTCTAGCCTCAATTCTTACAAGTCCAGTTTTTAGGTGTAGGGTTGCATTGGAAACGTTTTTGGGCACTTGTAGGACTGATCTTTGAAATTTAGATTGTACCAGTTCCAGTGTTGTGCAGTTGGAGGGGGGGGTACCAGTTGAGCAGGGACGCGGGTGGCGCTGTGGGTTAAACCACAGAGCCTAGCACTTGCCGATCAGAAGGTCGGAGGTTCGAATCCCCACAACGGGATGAGCTCCCGTTGTTCGGTCCCTGCTCCTGCCAACCTAGCAGTTCGAAAGCACGTCAAAGTGCAAGTAGATAAATAGGTACTGCTCTGGCAGGAAGGTAAACGGCGTGTCCGTGTGCTGCTCTGGTTCTCCAGAAGTGGCTTAGTCATGCTGGCCACATGACCCGGAAGCTGTCTGCGGACAAACGCAGGCTCCCTCGGCCTATAGAGCGAGATGAGCATGCAACCCCAGAGTCGGTCACGAGTGGACCTAATGGTCAGGGGTCCCTTTACCTTTACCAGTTGAGCACCATATAGCAGCTGCGCAATTGACTTTGCCTTAAACAATTTGAGGGTTGCAGGTATGAAGTGGCCACCTTTGGTCCTGAGATATTTAAGTATGGCTTTTGCGCTTCTCTGGGCATTCCCTGCAACATAGTCCCCGTGGGCTTTTCTGCTTCCCAAGGAATGAAGGGCCATGGCAAGGTATTTGAAGCAGGTGACCTGCTCGATCTTTTGGCCATCCATGTACCATGACCGAGATTTGGGCCTTTTGGCAAATACCATGGTTTTGGTTTTCTGGTAATTAAGTTCTAGTTTGTTTTCCTTGCGGTATGCTGCCAGTGTTTTCATGGCTCATTGTTGTTACCAATGGAACAATTGTCTGTGTGTTTTTCCTTTCCTTTCCTATTATTGCACAGTATGATTGACCCTCAGATCTCTATCTCGGAATCAGTTTGCCCAGAAACTACATAGGAATGACATTATTTAAAATGATTGTAAGGATTTCTCATTTTGCATTTTTATGTTGTGAACCACTCTGTGGTCTTCCACTGAAGGGTGGCATACAAATTCAATTTAAAAAAAAAAAAAGAGGAATGGCATTGTTGCAGTGTTTACACTTTTCCACTTCTCCCAAACCTAAGAAGATATCTGAGATTTGACTGAAATATAGTTCACAATGGTAACTAAATCTCCAAAAGTAATAGCGGGCGTCTTAAAGTACATTACTAGGCTGACATCCCTAGGCAAGGTATTCAATCTCTCTAAGGAACAGAATTGATACATTTTATTCATTCTCTCTACAAATAACAGACTCACAAATATTAATGCTTATTTACATTTTGCAAGCATGCATTTATTAACACAACTTTTATTTTTGCTACCTGCCATTACAGAGCCTTGTCTGAATTCAGTGTTGAAATACTGTAATATCCCACAGCAAGTGTGAGTCATTGACATTTAGACTGATAGAGGCTCCTATTAATGAAGCCATTCTTCACTTTACTGGGATGCTTCATACATTATTTCTCAGTAATAAAAAGATTTATTGGCAATTGCTAAAAGTAAATTGCAGCAGGAAAGGTTATGTGGATCAAATATTTGTTCTTGAGCATTCGTTAATTTATTTGTTTATATGTTCTGTATACAAAGAACCAAGCCATGGCATAGCACAATTCATTTTACATGAAGGCTTTTATTGCGTAACCAGACCTCAAATGCAAGATTTTATGGAAACTGAAAACAAATCATGCTCAAACTATCTAGCTGAGGATTGGCTGGGTAATGGAATACTTGAATTGAGACAATCTGTTGCTAGAAAAGAAGCATTGAAAAAGGAAGACTCTCCCCTAGGTATTTTCTCTCCCTCTTCCCCACTCACTAAGGATCTTTCCACACTTACCATGTATAGTGGTATATTTTCTTCCATCCAGCCACACCCATTTTAATGGCATGATGCTACACAGTGACATTATTCACCTGTTATACCAGAATAATGTACTCAAAAACCCACTTTTTCTTCTACTGGAAAAAAAAATCTGACATTTAGGAAAGATCCAGAATGGTTCTTTTGTGGGACATGTGTATTATCCAATTTCTGTGTGGAGGGGTTGGGAGTTGGTGGGCATGGTTTGGGAGACATGTTTCACACCTCTTTTTCAGTTTGTGAGATTAGAACAGAGGGCAGAAATGACAGGTGAAAACTATAATACTGAGTCAAAGTACTACCCATGATACCATTAGCTGCAGACAAAATTTCATCACAATAACCAGGTTTACCATAGCTTAAGCAGACATGTAGTTCCTATTCTAATCTGGCCTCCCACAAGAATAGAATTCTGGAACACTAGGCATTAAAAACAACAACAACAACCCACATAGGGGCAATTTTCATGTGCATGCTCATAACTCTGATAGTTATTGACTGGAAGAACATGACGGTATGTAAAGGTGTGACTACAGCTACAGCAGACCCTCCAAGTTTCCCTATTTTCCAGGGACAGTCTCGGATTTACAGAAGCTGTTCTGGGACTCAGCTACACAGTTGCAAATAGAACCTTTTAAGTGTGTTTTAAGTGAAATACACAATGTGAAACTTGATGGCGATGGTGAGCCTTATGGAAAATTCAAGGTATTTTTAAAAACGCTTTAAAAGAAATTTCAGAATGGTTTTTATATGTGTGTAGATTTCACCCTGGTATCTGATTTGATCCCAGAATGTCCTGCTTTTCTTTAGGACGTCCCTATTTCCTTTAGAGAAATGTTGGAGGGTATGGTAGGATATCCCTATTTTCATTGGAGAAATGTTGGAGGGGACATTTTATACCCTCCAAATGTTGGAGGGAATGCTACAGAACTTTCCTCATTTTGGACACAACCCACCATTAGTGCACAAAAGAAATCCCCACACTCACTTACTTGCTACTAACAGTGACACATGAACGAAGGTGCAGACTATCAACTAGAAATTCACTCTTCAAAATGTTGGATCAAAAAGAAAATTTACTGCTATAAATGGCAAGTCCCTATCTCTTTCAGACCAGCCGAGCAGAAACTAGAGAAAAGAGCTTCTTAGCTGCCTATCTCATCTCACCAGTTCCGCAGATACCAAATGACAGGGTGGGCAGAATGAAATAATCCCTTCACCCTCCCAGGTCTTGAACTGAAAGAAGTAGACTGTGATATTTTATCATTCTTACCCCAGTCTCTTCCGAATTCAGCTCAATGTGAATCTGGCCCATTTGGGCTAAGATGAGAATATGTCTCTTAAGTGTTGCTGCAATTGGACTTTTTTTAGTTGTAGAGGTGAGTTATTCACAAAATGTTCTCATTTTGTATTTTTATGTTGTGAACTGCCCTGTGATCTTCAGATGAAGGGTAATATACAAATTTAATTAATTAATAATAATAAGCCCTCCATGATCACAATCCAAGATAGGTCTGTGCACACTTGTGGCTTAATCTGACCTTGCATTTAAGCACTAGCCTGGTAGCCCTAAGAAGCAAAGAATTCAACGAAGGTCAATATGTGGAACTGCACACAGGCAAGTGGGCAGGGCAACAGTGGAGGGATGGAGTGCAAACTTTTGAAACAAAAAAAAATATGTGGTAGAACCAGGTGATAGAAACAAGTATACAGCCTGCTTTGGGCAGGTCTGGGTCAGAACCCAGCAGAAAAACAGTCTATTTACCTAAGGTATAGAGGTTAAAATGGCTAAGAAGATTCTAAAAAGTAACTCTCCTTCATTCCTTTATCCATTTCATTCATCCACTGCAATTTCCTGCAGTTTCTCAGTTGTTTATAAATAATGTCAAGTTAGATCTACACTTTTCATTAACCAAAAATATATTTTCAGCACAAATCTTCTGTG